CCCCAACAAAGATCGAGTCCAAGAATTGAAGGCACAGTTGGCTAGGGAATTTGATATGAAGGACTTGGGACTCGCAAACAAGATTTTAGGGATGCAAATTCACTGAGATAAAAGGGATAGGAAGATTTGGCTTTCTCAAAAGAATTATCTTAAGAAAGTCTTGCGGCGCTTCAACATGCAATATTGTAAGCCAATCTCTACCCCATTGCCTATCAATTATAAATTATCCTCAAATATGTGTCCTAGCAGTGAAGCAGAAAGGATGAAAATGTCTTGAGTACCGTATGCATCGACAGTGGGAAGTCTTATGTATGCTATGATTTGTACGAGACCAGATATTGCACAAGCAGTTGGAACGGTCAGTCGATTTATGGCAAATCTTGGTAGAGAGCACTGAAATGCTGTGAAGAGGATCCAAAGATACATTAAAGGAACCTCAGATGCTGCATTATGTTTTGGAGGATCAGAGTTTATTGTCAGAGGATATGTTGTTTCAGATTTTGCAGGTGATCTTGATAAAAGAAAATCTACTACAGGATATGTGTTCTCCCTTACAAACGGAGCGGTAAGTTGGTTATCTAAATTGCAGACTGTTGTAGCTTTATCTACTACAGATGCGGAGTATATGGCAGCTACCCAGGCATGCAAGGAAGCAATTTGGATTCAAAGGTTATTGGGAGAACTCGGACACAAGCAACAAAATATCACTGTGTATTGTGACAGTCAAAGTTCCTTGCACATTGCAAGGAATCCAGCTTTTCATTCCAGAACGAAGCACATAGGAGTACAATACCATTTTGTCAGAGAAGTAGTAGAGAAAGGGAGTGTGGATATGCAAAAGATTCATACCAAAGATAACCTAGCAGATGCTATGACAAAGCCAATCAACTCTGATAAGTTTATCTGGTGCAGATCCTCCTATGGTCTATTAGAAGCATAAGCAGCATGGAACAGGCAAATAGAGAAAGATTTTGAAACTCACAAAAGTGACTTTAAGTGGGAGATTGTGAATACAATTGCCGTAAAACCACTTTTGTGGAAGTCAAAATAAGGGAGCTATTTGTGAGCTATTTGTTGGCTATTGAAAGAAAATAGTCACAAGTTTACGGTGACATTAAATGCCAAGCAAAAGAAGAGAAGTCCCTTCTTCTCTATAAATACTGGCTTCCTCCTATGCTTTGAAAAATCATCCTAGAGAGAATATAAAGTTTCTCCTGTGAGGTTCTTCTAGTAAGTGATTTCTCCTATTTTATTAAGAGAGAGAGAAATTGTTCTTTTCTTCTAATTTAGAGAGAAGTTGTAATCATTCTTCCACATAGTGAAAATTTTCTCTGGTCTTGCTCGTAGTTATTTCTTTATCTGTTGAGAGTTTTCCACGTAAAATATTGAGTGTCAATTTCTAATTTTTTTTTCATATATTTTAGTTGAAAATTATTATTCCGCTACTCTGAAACCCAACAGTTCATGGCTTGGGGGGGGGGGGCAATGAGAGACACTCTTGGAAGTGAAATTGAGCCATATTGTTTTTATGTGATTGATTGGATCGAATCTTTTGTTCGTTCAATTTTATTAACTTGGAAGTCGGTTACAGCTGAAGAGGTTGATCTCTCCCATGATGTACAACATTGGGAGACCTTGTCTATCTCTGAGAAGCACTTCATAACACATGTCCTAGCGTTTTTTGCTGCTTCTGATGGAATTGTCTTGGAGAATTTGGCTGCAAGGTTTTTGAGTGATGTTAAAATTCCCGAGGTAACATTTTAAGCTTTTGCTTTGCTAATAGTTTACTTGTAGTTTAGCATCTAACCATTAGGCTATAATTATTGGCAGGCTCGGGCTTTTTATGGGTTTCAGATAGCAATGGAGAACATTCATTCTGGTATAGCTTTGTAGTTGATTCTTTCTTTTCCTTTCCATAATATCTGCATGTCGACTGATTTGAGGTTTACTTTGTCAGAAATGTACAGCTTGCTTCTGGAGACATATATTAAAGATTCCAGGGAGAAATATAGATTATTCAATGCAATTGAAAATTTGCCTTGTGTTGCAAGGAAGGCTGAATGGGCATTGAGTTGGATTCATAGGTGATTATTTATTCTATTCACACTCTAAACAACCTCTCAAACAGGTCTGTTAAAAGTGAACCACAGTTACAGCATGGCCCTGTCTGACGTTATTAACTGGTCATTTCCTTCTGTTCGGCTGGCATGGCATAGTTGAGTGTGGGACCTAGCTCAAGAAAATGATGGGACATGGAAGTTTGAGCTGCAATGTTATTCTTTTATTTGGTCACTTATTTTGCTATTTATTTTTTTACCACCAAAAAACATAAGTTTAAAGGAAACCAAAAGTAAAGGGTAACAAAGCATATTACCATTGTTATGCAGGGTTGTTTTGTGTAAAGTGTAAACAACATAAGAGTCCTCACATTTTTTAATATGGATATTTTAGAAATGTACTGACAGTCTTCCAGTAACCTTTGGGTTTATATTTTCTACTTTCTTATTGAGAATTAGAGTGAAACCGTTGATTCAAACACAAAACTGGTTTGTGAAAAGAAATATTAAATATTATTTCTGTAGTTTCTATTCATGTATATGTTTAGAAATTAAGCACAGAATTAATACATTTGTGCATGACAACCGTCTATATATGCAAAAAAGAACTGAAGATTGTGGTCTATTGTTGGGATGGGATCTGTGAGGTTGATCCGTTTATTTTAATATTTAATGGGGGTGAGTTTATACTGTGAATTGTGATCATAAACCGTCGTAGATTTGATGTTTTGTGGTTATGTCTTTCTCATTCTGTTACTTTAGCTTTGTTTTGCTTCATATCTTCTAGTGGGAAGATAGAAATTGCTTTCTAATGACTTCTTGCAATGCATGGGCTACAGTTCCACTTCATTTGCAGAGAGACTTGTTGCTTTTGCATGTGTTGAAGGGATATTTTTCTCAGGAAGGTAGTTGTCTCAAGAAAAAACAGCTTATAGGCCTTTCCTTGATTCTTAATGTGAGTTATGATGTCCTGCTTTATGTGTAACTTAAATTGGGGTTTCTTTCAGCTTCTGTTCCATATTCTGGCTTAAAAAGAGAGGACTGATGCCAGGTTTGACATTCTCAAATGAACTAATATCTAGAGATGAGGGCCTTCACTGTGATTTTGCTTGTCTTTTATACAGGTAGTGTTGGCTTTTTCATTCATTATTCTAAATAGCATGAAAATGTATGGATACATTCACTGGAGTGTGTTCTTATATTAGTTTTTGGAGAGGAAACCATTAGTCAATTCGTTGCTATTGGCTGCAGTTTGTTACGGAGGCCGCTAAGTTCTGATCGGGTTCATAAGCTAATACACGAAGCTGTTGAAATTGAAACAGAGTTTGTCTGTGAGGCCCTCCCTTGTGCATTGCTTGGCATGAACTCAACACTCATGAGCCAGTACATAAAATTTGTAGCTGACAGGTTATTGGTATGATACTAAGGAGTTTCATTTTACCTTAATAACATGGGATGAAAGTTGACTTTCTTTTTTTTTTTTTTATGGGATGAAAGTTGATTTTCTTTTTTTTCTTATGGCATGGAAGTTGATCCTCTTTTTTCCCTTATGGGATGGAAGTTGACTCCCTTTTTTGCCTTATGGGATGGAAGATTACTCTCTTTTTTGCCTTATGGGATGGAAGTTGACTCTCTTTTTTCTCTTATGGGATTGACTCTCTTTTTTCTCTTATGGGATGGAAGTTGACTCTTTTTTTTTTCCTTATGGGATGAAAATTGACTCTTTTTTTCCTTATGGGATGGAAGTTGACTCTTTTTTTCCCTTATGGGATGGAAGTTGACTCTCTTTTTTTTCTTTATGGAATGAAAGCTGACTCTCTTTTTTTTTTCCTTCCGGGAAGTTGACTTTTTTTTTCCTTTGTCCTTAGGTTGGTTAACTGCTTATCCTTTTACCTTTCAGGTTGCCTTGGGGTACCAAAGAAAGTATAATGTGGAAAATCCCTTTGATTGGATGGAATTTATCTCTTTGCAGTGAGTAATTTTATTTTATTATTTCTATAATATTGTTCTTGAAAAGTACTGATTTAAATTATTGAATAATGAGCTCCAGCTTCTGACACCTGACCTGCATTCCATGTTTATACGATATGCTCTTATTTTAACCCCTGAACGCACACATGGTGCCTATTATTAAGTTGATTGACATTTTCTAAATAAACAAACCTTTTGGATATGCTGATATTCAATAATTCTTTAGTAGTTTACTGCATGTAAAATGCTGATATTCAAGAATTCTTTCTGAGCAGAGGGAAGGCTAACTTTTTCGAGAGAAGAGTTGGTGATTATCAAAAAGCGTCTGTGATGTCAAACCTCCAAGATGCTGGCAAAAACTTTGTTTTCAAACTTGATGAGGACTTCTAGTTATGATTGATTTGTTACCGCTTCGACTATTATGGGACGTTGAATTGGGCATCGAAATTTTTATTCAGTAGTATTTTGTTTTTTTCAGTGACATGTTTAGTTTACACGAACAAATAAGTGATTCGTGGAAGGTATCAAATAATCATTACCATAATGGGCTATCGTTTTGAAATTACAATTGTATATTATGTTCTATATAAAAAGGTGAAATTAATATTCACTCATTTATATTAGGTCCATCTAAATATACATATTATATAATATAATATGTAGTCATACTTAGTTAATTAAAAATTAAAATTTCTATCAATTTTTTACCTATTAAGTTTTATCATGTAGGATATATCCTCCTGCACATTCTCTCTGTATATTTTTGGATACTATATTTATTTAAGTCATACAATTCATTTTATTTATTTACATAAAATGCATGTGAACAGAGAATGTCTATAATGTGTGTCTCATCATTTGTGCAAATGTAATGACAACTTTAAGTCTTACCATTCATTATAACGCCAGATATTGACATGCACATTTTTTTTTGGCACTTGTTAGGTATGCCATAGAAAAGGTGGAGTTAACCTACCAATACTGGTTAAGCAATACCAAAGAGTCAGCGGGTACTCGCTTGCCGTCATCATTGCGATACCAGTTGTAGATTGCATGAGTCCTATTTTTTATCTCCAATGTCGCGTGTCCATAGCTTGCTTCTCTAAATGCAGAATATTCTGGCTGTGGATCCAAATAACTGTACCACCAATCATACTACGATATTAGATAATCTTTTAGTTCATTGCCTATACACATGTCAAATGATTTGTCTAGTTTACCTTGAGGCAAGACCTTCTAAATTTCCTCCATCTCCGATTGTTACATAAATAGGTGCTGATTTGTCAGGTACAGGGTACCTTCTACCACCAGTTATATTGTAGTCTATGTTGGAGTATCGATACTGAGAGCAGAACACAAAATTTCAACACATAAGAATATATACTAGTCAACTGAAGAATCATATTGCCTTAGTCATTGACACCAAGATGACATATATATACAAGTGTGTTGGTGGTGTTTTCGAGCAAAAGAAATGAGCAGAAAGCAACAAAAACATACTGATCTTTCATAAGCATGGACATGGCCTGCAAAGATGGCATCAACTTTGTATTGGACAAACCAGCTCTCGAAAACTGATCGCATGGCTTCACCCTCCATATAGTGAGCTACATTACTGCTGTAGAGCGGCTTGTGCATGACCACAAATAGCCAAGGTGTCTTCTCTCTATCAACTCTTGCCAGCTCTTCTTTAAGCCATATGTATTGAGGCGTGTACTTCACTGTTAACAAATCAAGATCGGTATCAGGACACAATACCATAAAAGAAACCATGTAAATTCAACATATGCAAATAAAGAGGAAATAGATTAGTGAGTAGTTACCAAATGGAGAATAGCTGGATAGCACAATTATATGAGCAGATGCACGCCTCACTGCATACCAGAGGGGGCTGCTGCTATTGGAGGCGGAATAGGGAGTAGTATATCGGTGAAGATAGTTCTTGAAAGGAACTAACTCTCCCTGACGTTTCCAACATAAGCAACACAATATTAGTTTAACATGAATCAAACTTCACAAATATATTTTTTCATTGCTATCTCTATGTTAAGTTTCAATAATATTTTAAGAGAAATGATTGATAGTTAAAACTAAATAGTTGTTAACTATTCTTTCTCCCTATAAATGAATTTGAAGAATAACCAAGACGAATAAAAGAGTAAGGTTAGTAGTTTACCACTTCAGGCATAAACTCTACTTCGTGATTTCCTATATTCCACATCCATGGCTGATATGCTGCACTTTTTTCTGCAAATCGCCCCCATGTATCCCACCGTAAACCAACATCTTCGAAGTCGTGCTCATCAGAATAAGAAAGATCTCCCACATATAACACAGCCTGTCCTCCACTCTCCAAATAATGCTCAAGAGTTGAAAGAGAGTTAAACGTTTGCCCCAAATCACCTGCAATTTTCATTTATGAAAGCCACAAAATTAAAAAATAAAAATTATATATATATATATATATATATATATATATATATATATATATATATATATATATATATATATATTTGCATATGTGAAAATTTAGACAACTTACCAATGATACCGAATTTGTAGGGAGTATCTGGCCCAATTGTGGGAGGTGTTTCGAACCAAAAATCTCGAGCAGAATCACCAGCTCCAATTCTATAGTAGTATTTGGTATTAAGCTGAAATGGGTAAATCATTGAATAGATCAAATAATCACATTCTACTTTTGATATTACAAATATAATGCCAGATATATAATTCGATCTACTCTTCTAATTTGATCAACAATTACCTTAAGGCCTTCAATAAGACAATGATGAATGTAACCAGACTTGTAGTTATAGAAGGTGTAGTTTGCAATTGTGCCTTTTTTACTAGTTTGAAGCCTATGGTTTGACGTCCCATAATGTACATGGCTAGGTCCTGGTTCATCTGGGGTAACCCATGAGATAATTACTGCTTTTCCATCATAATCACCTTGTGTGATGTGCACCTGCAGTGGAATTGATCAATCAATCAATAAAAGGAATAGCTTTAGAATTTGAACTACTTCACATGCCCAAGTTTGGAATTAATACCAGCTTACAGATAATAAAATAGGCCTTGTTATTTTTGAAAGACTTACTTGTTGAGGAGCATTGTAACCAGGTGGAATTGCAAACACTTCATGATCGACGGGCATGTCCTCTGCTGGCCACTGTGGCCGAACGAAAGAGCTTGTGATCCCTGCATTCACATCTCTGATAGAACCCAATAAGACAAAGGAACCAAGAACAATCTTAAACAACATGGTCTGCATCCTTATATTTCCAGAGACTTGAGTCTTCTTGCCTTTAATCATCTTACAGAGTCCTATCTATCTGCATTCAACAATCCCAATGAATGTCATTCAATCATACAACACATTATGCCATATATATTCAAGTAATTCACTTCGAAATTACTTGTTTTAAGCTAAAACTCAACTATATTCTTCTATTCTATTGTTCTCTCATGCTTATTTTAAATAAATTCTAAAACTATTTTAACTCAATTTTGTAAGTAGTTTTTGTTTTCAAAAAAAAAATTAAATTAGAGTTGAACATCTTGTTTTTCCTTTTCTTTTTCACAATTTTCCACCACCCATTTACTTGCTTTTCCTTAAGATAACAAAATAGATTGGAAGACCGATTTATTTCAACCATTTAATGAAATGTAAATCCAAACTTTAAAGTTTTGCTTAATAATTAAATTTTTTCCTTTTAATTTAATTTACATGTTCAAATTTAATTTGAGTTTAGCTCAAAAAAATTAAAACAACCCATAAAAATAAATATGATATTATTCAACTTTGGACTTGTTTAGAAAAAATTATTCCTAAATATTTTTGGTAGAGAAAAAAAACTCAAATTAATTTGTCAGTCAAAAATAGAATTTGAAAAGTTAATAAAAATATTTATACAAATTAACTTAGGTGTAAAATAGTTTTAATTTATAAAGATGTTATATTTTTTTAATTATTTTATAAAGATGTTAATTGTATTTTTCTTTTTTACTTTTTAAGTGTTTATAACAAAAATTAATGTCCTTTATTTTAGTTTAGATTTTAATATATTTTTTTATTTTGGCTTATTTCTTAATTATCGGATGATAAAAACAATCATGTATTTACGAATATTTGTTAGTAAAATCTAGCTTATATACTAAATGAATATTGGTAAAGTGACGAGTATTGGTATTTTAATTACTTTAACGGGACATATATAATGTCATAGTATCTAATCCGTAAATCATTTTTATTTAATATTGTTTAGAATAAAATTATTGATGAAAAAAATATTAATTATTAAAGAATTATTTACAATTAGAATTTAGAAATTTTATTTAAATTTATGAAATTATTTTTGAATTAATGTTATTTAATTAATATTTTATAAAATATAATTTTATTTATAATAATACTTTAATGTATATTTTATAATAAAAATTTTATTCAAATATATATTTTTAAAAAGAAATTTCAAATCTGTTTTAAATAAAAAATATCTGTAAATATACATAAATACGCCCGAGTTTGAAAAAAAAAACTGTAATTTTTTTTTTTACATAAATACTTAAATAACAGAACAGACAATAAAAGAATATTTTCTTGGTAGAGATTATCCCTACCCCATGTGCAACCAACTTATTAGAATGAATGAGAGAGAGAGAGAGAGGTTATTAGGTTACCTTGGAATGAAGCACTTGCTGAGAAGATAAGCCAGGTGATGATAAAAGAAGGGCGTAGATTGATTATAAAGAGAAGAGTGAAGTGGTTGGTGCATTTGGAGCCATGTTTCACGTGCCTATATCTTATTCGTCCATACTCTCCCACATGTGAATTCACGTGGTGAGTATTCTAATTTCATCTATTTATTGATAATATCATTTGTTTATAAATTTTAATCTGTTGTAATTTTATTTTCAAAAGTTGTTTAAATGATTAAAAAAAATTGTATATAATTTATTCATAATCTTAACTCTAAGTGATATGAGATTTCGTATCAGAATATATTCTCTCTCTTTTTTCAAATATATATTTTCACAATACAATTAATATCATTAACTTAGAGTTTATGTTATGAACACTTTTTAATGTCATGAATAGCCCGATAGTTCATAGATTTATATTCAAGATACTTTTCACCAAGATTTTATATTAAAATACCATGAATCTTTTATTGTTTAAAATTTAAAGTGAAAGATAATTTATATATTTCTCGTTTTTAATTTACCTAATTTAAAAAAAATTATAAATTAAAATTCTAAAACGATAATACCTCGTAAAAATTAATCACATGATACGTGAGTTTCACTGTATCTTCTAATTTCCATTTTCACACAAAAGTTTCAAACTAATTTATTGGGACGTCGTAAAAAAAACCAATCCACAATTTCGAAAATTGTCTTTCCATCTGCGATGAAACGTGATGGTCACACATATAACTTTTATTTATTTGTCTCTACCACCCACGCTGTCATGGCTGACATCATAAGACAAAAAAAGAAGCATCTATAGACCACGTGAATCCACTCAATATGAGCATGGGTTCTCTAATTATTATCATACCTCCATTATTGAACCCCACTACATGTAAATTTAGTTTGATAAATTGGAATAGACATCTTGCTTGTCTATTTTTAATGAATTTAGTTTTCATCTCCATTTTTCTTTTCATTTTTTTTCTTCCATAACATTTTATTCTATTTTATGCTATCATATCAATCACTGTTACTCTTCTACTAAAAACAACTCTCAGCTCCATTCATTTTTTTTTTTTATCTTTATTCTCTTGCTTTTCTTCCACTATTTCTTTTGAAAACTTAAATAACTTGTCCTTTTCTATATTCCTTTTTCTAAATATTGGTAAACATTAATTTACTTGTTGATTAGATCTATTTAAATAAATAAAAGAGTACATGGGTAATTTTAAAAAATATATATATTTAAGACAAAAAATCCTCGTTCATATACTCAAGTCACTTGATTGTTCATGGTTTTACAATTTTATGTACTGTTCAAACTTTTATTGAATCTTTAATAATTACATAATGTTTTGTTTACACTATGAATCCGGAACGTTTCACCTCCGCCGATGACACAAAATATTAGCTTTTTTATTTTCATTTAAAAAAATATCTTTTTGATAAAATATTTTTTTAAAAGTTAATTTATCCATTTTAGTAAACCACAGTGGTATCAAGCCTGGTTGCATGTGAGTGGATCTCAATTTAATCTATAAAATATGATAAATAATTTAAAAAATAATATAATTATTTAAATTTTGAAGTCAAACAATAATATATAAGTATTATTTTTATTTGGTTTTTATAAACCATTTCGATTATGTTTTATTATGAAAATGATTATATTTTTATTTTTTAGATAAATATTATAATTTTCTGTCATAGTATGCATTACAAATATAGTTATATTCCTTTTTATTTTTTTAAAAGTGCAGAATTTGTTATCATATATCGTTATCTTAAATGATATCTTTAATTATATTTGTAAATATTATAAGATAACAATTATAGATTTGGGATGAAGTAACAATTGTTCTCTCTTGTTATTTATATACCTTGCTTTTTCTGTTACTTTTGTTTTTGTAGTACTGTGATGTTTTAAGATGTTTCTTGAATATAAACATGTTATAAAGACCTTAAAAAAAAACTAGATATTGAGCTTTACAATAAACATGTTAAATTTTGCTTTTAGTTCATTATTACTCTTATACTCAACCTGATATTGTACCGTGAATAATAAAATATACTATAATTTAATAATTTTTAAATATAATTAATAGATTTTAAAAAAAGAAGAAAATGAGAAATGTGCATAAATCGTCATATTTATTATAAATTAATAACTTTTTTTATAACATTTAAAATTGATTATTTGATATATTTTTAGAACAATTATTTTGTAAATTTAAATATACATTATAAAAATGTGTCTTCATGATAATATTTTATCAAAATAAAAATAAAAACATTTTTCATAAACATTTTAACATTCTTTTTCACATATACAATGAAAATATGTTTCAATAGTATATCTCAGTCCATTTTTTATGATACAAAATAGAAACATATTATCATTTAGTTATTGGACAATTAAAAGAAAAAAAAAGGAATAGATGTGTTAGAGGATTTTATAAAGGTTGTTGCTTCTTGTACCCTATAATTTTTCAGTATTTTCATGTCCAAAGTCAAATATCTAAAATATCATTTCTATAATTTTATTTTTTATTCTAATTTCTTCTTTTTCTATGTGTGTACAATTTTTGCATCTCTATTATTTGATTTTTGTATACTATCACATTCCTTGAAAATATTTTCTAACAATTAAAGTTAAATAATAATTAATATTATATATGAATTATATGTTTTCACACTTAAATTACATAAACAAATTCAAATTACTCAATTAGAAATATTATTGTGAAAATAAGGTTGAATCCCAAACAAATCAATTAATAAATACATTTTGGATTGAGTGTTTTGAAAATCCAATCCAAAATGTATTTTTAGATTGGCTTTTGTGTAAACATATTCCATAATGCATTTTCAGAAAAGTCTTTATGAAAATGTATTCCGGGTATTCCGAAATGTATTTTTAAAAATATCAATCCAGAAAGCATTTCAAAGATAAAGATGAAGAAAAAGATAAATGTAAAGATAGAATGAAGTTTAATTTAATTATAAGATGCAGAGATAAATTATAGGGTGGAAAAAGTAATGGCCATTTCTAAACCATAAATAAAAAAAAGGCCCAAAACGGTAATGAACCTGTTAATTCCAGGTAGGCTAAGTGCTTTTCGCATCTTATAATTACTTTCTACACCTTTCTACTATGATAGAATGATAAAAATAATCTTTAAAAATTTTAACACTTTTCAAAAAATGTTATCCAGAATATTAAAAAGTTTCTGAAATACATATTGAAGATAAATTTAGTTTTTCAAAAAGCATTAGAATTTATTTATTTTTTCAATGATAATACAGGCGACAAAAGTTGAGTAATTACATGATATCTCGAAGTGAATAATATAAAATAATTTCACAATATAATGGAATATTTCAGAAGGTTTTCAATATATTTTGAATAACATTTTCTAAAAAGGGTAAGGATTTTGAAAAAGTATGATCATCATGTATATTGATAAGGTGCAGAAAATAATTACTTGGTGCAAAAAGCAATTTGCATCAAATCGATACATATGGGCTTTGCCTTAGTAATCGTACGTGAGGATGGGATTGGATCAAACACCATTCTTTTGAACATAATTCATGAATGCATAAAATTAATTAATTAAGTTTTAATAAAAATCATAAAGGTTTAAAAACAATAGCAATCAATTAATCAAGCTAGCCCAAGCAAATATCAAATTATTATGGATATTTTGAACAAATTTCTGAATAAAAAAATAAAAATCTCATAATGATGTCCTAAATCATTGTGATAGCATTTTTGAAAAAAATTGCAATTTAATCTATAAAAAATAGATAAATCTAATTAAGCTTAATTCCTAAATTTTTATTTCAAACAAGAATGATCTATATTATATTTTAAATTTATTTTGAATCTGTGTATATAAATTAAGTTGTCTGATTAAATAAAATAAAATAAACCTCTTTTTTTATCTTCAATTTATTCTTTTATTCAAAATTAAAACTCAATTTACGAATCTTGTCTTGTACCAAAATATCTATTAGAAGTAGTCGGATTAAATCACTCATTATTTTTTTTCTTTTTTTAAACTAATCTGATTAAAGTTTTACCTTTAAAATAAATAATTTGATACTCAATTTTTAGATAGGATAATTGTTTGATTAGATAATAAATAATAAGATAAAATTTATTCTGAATCTTCTTATATAAGATAGAAAAGATAATAATTAATAAAATGATAATATATTAGACATAAATAACAAAATTAGAAATAATATAGATATATAAAAATATATATTATTTTCAGTATTTAGTAAATATTAGGCAAGTAGTTTCATAAACTTTCTAAATTTGAAAACATAATTATTTAAAAATAGAAGTCGAACGAATTTATGGTCCATTATTACAAATTCATTACGTAAAGTAGTTCTGTTCGGTTGGAATATGTTTATTCTAAAAGTTATATATTAAATTTATTCTAAATATATATTTGGATACTATATTTATTTAAGAAATTCGTCTTTTTTTTAAAATTAATATGTGATTTGGCAGTTGACAGTTGAAACCTAAAATACCCACTAATGATATCGTATCATTCATGAGATTAGTTACGCATATTGAAGCGTTTTGGTAAGTCATTATTATATCTATATATTAAATATTTATTTTGAATGAAAAGTACTTTGAATATTATTATTTAAGCCAAATTCTATTTTCACTTTAATAAATATTTCTAGGCTTGTTTTTTCTGACAATGGCGTTTTTAACAAATTTATCCATTTAATATTTTTAAAATTAAAATATCAATAATTCAAAATAATCTTATATCATATATATATATATATATATATATATATATATATATATATATATTCTTTATTATAAATTTTAACTATAATATATGTTTAGAATTATTTATTTAATACAAATTTTAACAACAAAATAGATCATATTTCAGATACGTTTACACAAAACTAATATTATATATATATATATATATATATATATATATATATATATATATATATCAAAACATTAGTCCTAACAAGTTGTTAATCCGAAGCATTAAATTCAATCTTTTCAAAATTGGTTATAAATTTGAATATCGTAAATGGAAAACAAATTATTAAAAAGGGAAAGTTTATAATAGGTTGCTAATCAAGTTCTTTCAGAAATAATAATCATATATAAAACTGATAAATATAAACTTTTATAATTGATACATTTAACTGGTTTAAGTCATCTTAAAATAAAAATGTACCCCTGAATTGTCCCCAGCCAACCAACAATATAAATAATTTTCCACTTTTAATAATTTATCTTCTTAGATGTTGATACTGCAATTTATTATGTATTTTAGGTTATTTTAATAATTTTAAAATAGGTGAAGACATAAAATGGTTTCAATTGAATTTAATAAAATAATATTTTAAAAAATTTATTAAAATTATTATTATTACAAAGGTTATAAATATAAAATATAAAAAAATATATAAAATGAATAATTGTTAAAATAAAATAAAAATATAATAAAATAATCATTATTTAAGTTTACATGAGATAAAAAATTTGAATATATTATATCTTTTATAAAAAAAATATTAAACAAAAGTTTGATTTTACTTTTTTTTATCAAAATTAAAAAAATTAACTAATTTTTTTAATTTTATCGATTTTATTTTAATTTTTTTATTTAATTAAAATTCAGTTATTTTAAAATAATAGATTATTTTTTTATTAAATCTATTGAATCGCTAATCCGATTTTTAAAATAGTAGTTTAGCTTAAATGAACCAATAAACCTAATTTTATAAACAATTATCATTTTTCTATTTTATTTCTTTCTAAACGAAGGGAACTTAATTCCATGACCAGAATATATTAAGAACCTGTGGAGAATTGAATACAATAGGCATCCCGGAAAGAGGGCTAGGGACTGAAATAAAAATAATAACACAAGATAACTTTCATCTTATTTTGTTATACAAAACAAAAGTTTAAATTTATCTTCTTACAAGTCACTTAAAAATAAAAGGTAAAATTTTATTATACGCTAAGAATGTTATATGAAGTTTTATTAACTATAAATTTAGTTAGTACTTAAAATTATTTTTTTAAAACACTTAAAAATGAAATATTAATATATTTTTTTGACAAAATAAGAAATATTAGATTACATATAAATGGTAGGTAATCGTATAAGTAAATATTTATAATCAAAGAAAGTTGTAAAGTAGTCAAATACGAATAAAATTTTAATTATCTCTTTCTCAAATTCAATTTCTTTATTAACTTGGATTGTTATCGAATCTACGTGACGGTCAAGGAGTAATGTTATTATGAACAAGGGATTGAGATTTTGACCTTCTAGACACAACGAGGTTTAGATAACAATGCAGTGCATCATGTTCTGCATTACGTCGTTCATGAGATCATCGATATGATTCTCAAACACAAATTGGTCAGCGTAGGAATTCAAATTGTATGGTAATAAGAAAATTAAGCAAATAGCAAACATACAAAAGTCAGAATCTAACATAATTAACCTTCGAATGAAAAAGACTAAATTTCAAGAAACAAGAAATAGAAAGGAGACCAAAAGTACCAACACCTCGAACTTTCTTCGCAGTTTCAAATTGTTGAAGTACACATATTCCTTCCAAAACCACGCAGTTTCGTGAAAAAATCCAAACAAACGTGTACATCTATCAGTTTCTATGTGAAGCCAGCGTGTACGATTCAGCTTTTCTTTCTTCGGCAACTACGCCACAATCTTTTATTCTAATGACGACATGCATGTCATTATCATCAAGACAATAACATGTTAGAATACTAAACAGGTATTAAAAGAGGTTTCCGAACGTAGCTTACTTACAGATCATAAATTAAGAAACATCACCACCACCACAAAATTTGTTTTTATGATTAAGCGTTAAATAGGTGAAACCCTACAAGTAACAACACATGTATCTAACTGTCACATTAGCAAATTTATGTAATGCAACGTAAATTAATGAATGGGTATACCTAGATAAAGACGAAACCAGAAATATATAAGATTTTAATTTTTTGTCACATATGTTGGTCATAGATGAGTAACACACAACTATTATTTAAATACCCATGAAATATTAAATGAACAACATTACACTAATGATGAATGCTTAGTAAGAAAGAGTAAGCTTTTTTAAACAATATACAATAACAGTATCCACTTAAATTAATGCAACCCTTCCCTTTTTTTAATTCGTTTAACTTTATATGTTTTGATGGTAATAATATTATTTTTAACAAAATTGTCGTAAAAGCATCGCAAGCAGTGACTTATGGGAATGGAAATAAACAAATCTAAAAAGCATAAAAGAAATAAAAAATGGCAAAGTAAAAATTGAAAGAGAAAGCAAGCGTTTTGGGTTATTAAAAAAGTGGAGAGAGAATGGGAAATCATGAAAGCTCTCATTATTTAATGACTTGTTTATCCCATATGTTATTCGTTTGTTCAATAATTAAACACGTAAATAGAGATCACAAGGAGTTGGCGATGATGATGTGTACTGTGTTGTTCCAGAAAGGCAGCGCCAACTCATCTCTAAATTCGCATCCCTCAAGGGTCATGTCATGTCATATGGTCAGAATTGAAAAAATTGAAGTAAAAGTATAAGCTTGTTGAAGAAGCCACCAAGCCACCAAAGTTGGTTTAAATTAAGCCAACCTCACACAACATCACTTACCTCATCATCATCAACTCAAACTTTCCCTCTTAAAAACCACCCTCTCTCCCTCACTCTTTCTGCCTCATCACAGCACCACCAAAATATTTGTTTCCCTTCCCAGAGTTTTTTGTGCTCACAAAACACGCTTCTGATTAAGAGACACGTTCTAGTTCATAAATAATCATGGGCACTCTAGTGGGACATGTAGCTCCAGGTTTTGGTTTCTTGTTGATTGGTTTGTGGCACCTCTTCAACCACATAAAGCTCCACGCCCAAAACCCAAAGTCCTACAAGGGCCCATCATGGTTCCCAACTGCCAAGTTTAGATACCTAGAGCCAGTGCTCATCATGGCAGGCTGCACAGCCTCCGTAGCAATGGAACTCTTCATAGGCCCAGATCGCCACCAACCTCTTGACCCAGATGGAACCATTCCCTCCAACCATCTCCACAACTTCGAGCACTCTTCCATCTCCATCACCTTCTTCGTCTACGCAGCTTCTTCCATCATCCTGGACCGGGCCCAAGCCCAGGCCCAATACGTACTAACCCAGTTTCTCGGGGCCGTAGCCTTTGCTCAACAACTGCTTCTCTTCCACCTCCATTCCGCGGACCACATGGGCCCAGAAGGCCAATACCATCTTCTGTTACAGCTTTTGGTCTTTGTTTCTCTCTCCACTACAATCATTGGAATTGGGGTCCCTCGAAGTTTCATAGTGAACTTCGTTCGTTCCCTCAGCATTTTCTTCCAGGGCCTGTGGTTTATTGTGATGGGGTTCATGCTCTGGACACCTTCACTCATACCCAAAGGGTGTTACATGAACGACGAGGAGGGTCACATGGTGGTTAGATGCTCTTCCCACGAGGCACTCCACCGAGCCAACTCACTTGTCAACATTGAATTTAGTTGGTTCATCATTGCAGTCACGGTTTTTGCGGTTTCTCTCTACTTGGTTTTGGTCAAAGCCTACGGGGAGAAGGCGCAGTATTTTTCGCTCGGGAACGAGGATGAGGAGTCAAACGACGACGTAGAGTCCCAAAAGGGCGGCGCCTTTGACAACACCACCAAAAGCTTTATTCACGTGGGCAAAATCTTTCCTCAAAATGATATGGAAAGATAGATGAATAAATTAACACAGAGAGAACGATGAAATGAAAGTGTGTTGGTGATTGTGATTAGTGATTGGGTTTACTGTATATGTCTCTTTTAATTAGGATTTAGATTAGTTAAGTCAGCACCAATGTTTTGTTGGCTAAAGGAACGGGTAGGTTTTAAAGGGAATTATTTTATTTTATATGTTTTGTTAGTTATTGGGGTGGGAGCAACACGTTATGTTTCTTCATGAAACCATCTGTTACTTGCCTAAAACTGTGTATACAATATTAAGAGGTGTGTGTGAATAAATTAAATCATAAGATTTTGTTTATATGCATGGATGTGTTGTGTCTGTTTGCACGATAAATAATTTTTTATTGAAATGGTTAATTTTTATTTGAAATGTGTATAATATAATGTATTAGACACCACGATTAATACTTTTTTGGTTTGGGAAGGATAATGAACCCCTTGTTTTGGAGTATATCTAGGGAGGAGGGGATAGAAAAGAGATAGAAAGAAGAGGAAGAAAAAAACTTAAGTTTTAGAAAGGGGTTTTCTTAATTTTGTATATAAGAATAATGCTCAAGGAATTGTTGAAAAAAAATTATTGTATTTATTGTTGAAATGAGTAAATACATGAGAAAAAAAAAAAGCTTAAGGAAGCTCCTAGGTCAAACGAATATATAAGTTTTTGTTTTGCTTTGGATAGACGATGATTATAGTATTAAGCAAAAGCATAAAGATGAAGAGGAGAAATAATAAAATTAAGTTGGAGAACCTCCAAGCAACACCCTTATCCAAGTGAGAACAACAATATGTGCAATGTTTAACTAGAAAAATTAAAGTAATATACGTGAAAGGGCATATCAATTATATATATATAATACTCCACCTTGTTCACTTTCATTTAATGTAAGAGTGGTGTTGAAGAAATGTTTGGCATAGTTAAAAACTATGATAAGTCAAGAAACATAAAGAAATTTGTCCCTATGTCTTACGAAAAATCCTCATCAACTACCATAATGCATGGGCACATAGACATTACTATCTCTACACCAACAACGTTATACATATATTATGGGTAGAATTGGTTTTGTTTTTTCTTGCTAAATTTCTCTACCACTACACGTTATTTTTGCATAAGCAATTACTCTTTTTATTACTTATCAAAACGTTCTTTTCCTTTCTGTTGCTTCTGTTTGTTTATTTCATCATAATTCTCTTTTCACAAATATGAATTGTCTTCTACTTTCATTCCGCTCCATTTTTTCTCTTCTAATTTCACAGATAACTATATATGCTTATCATTTTTTGTTTATCCCAAAATTTAGATCAAATCAAATCAATTCAATTTTGGTTTAATTTTTCTATCTTTATTAAACCTGTCACTGAATAAAAAAAATAAAAATAAAGAAGGCATAGCAAAGGATTGGATCAATAAAAAAAACTGTAAAAAATCTATAAAATAGTACGAATGGGTGTGGAAAAAGAGTGTGATGCCAAGGAAAAAGTTTGAGCTTGTGAATTGTTTCATTACAGTTCTCACTGTTCAGAAAAAAATTCACCCTAGTCTGTATGATTCAACAAAATAATTAAAAAAAGTAAAAAAAAATCGATAAAACGATAATCCAATTTTTATTTATTTTTATTATGTAATAAAATATTGTGTAGTGCATGCATTCAAATATTTCAACTTTTATTTTTCAAATCTACCTCACAACATATATATGAAGTTGTCTTTACATAACCTTCTATAAATTATTATTTTTTACCATCGCACACAAGCACTCCAAAAATATGTAAGATGGTTTTAAAACGACTGATGTTATAACCGACGATGAAAATTAAAAGACTGATGATAATTTAACTCATTATCATACAATAAGATGAAAATTAGAAATATAATTATTATTTTATGTTAATAACATCATCAAATTTTTTTCTCTAACTATTGTTTAGTTATAACAAAGACAAAAATTGTTTCCTTTATCACTGATAAATACGATATTAATTTTGTTGGAAATATTGTCATATATATATATATATATATATATATATATATATATTTGTCTAAATTAGGTATTTAATTTTTTTATTATATTTTAAAATAAAAGAAAATTTATTATATTATTATTTAAATTAAAATAATTATGGTTAATATATAATTAATATTTGATATTTTGTTATAGTTTTATTCTATAAGTAGAATATAATATATATATATATATATATATATATATATATATAGGAAAATCTTAATATTTTCTAAGGATCAAGAATTTTGGTTTTCACAAGAAAAGAAAGTTTTTTACAAATTATTATTTCAATTCTCAATAGTGAAAGTTATAACTTTCTGAAATGTTAATCTTGATTTAGTATTTTTGTGTATGTACAGTTATATATCTTATATGGATAATATTTTCATATTTTATCATATATCCATATATTATTTTTATAGTAAAAATATGATAAAATATCAAATATTAACAATATTTTAATCATAGCTACATAAATTAAAACAATAATCTAATATTTGTTTCTTATTCTAAAAGATAATAAAAAAAATTAATACTTAATTTAAATAAAAGATAATAAAAGAATTTTCCTAACATTTCTCCTTACTTTAATATTTTTATTTAAATTTGATATTTTTTCTTCCTCTTTTTTTGCTTGTAATTATTGTCACTTCATTCATTCATTTTTGTTGTTGTACTATCATATTTTTTCTTTATAATCACTTGCAAACAAACTTTTTTCTTAACATGATATTTTTTTCATAAGATTTCTTCTTTTTGCATACAGTCTTCCCTTTAGCTCTTAACATGTTAGAATTTGTTTTCTTAATTTTTCATTGATCTTTTCTTCACAAAGTGTAATGTGGAGATGACATTTTCTTCCCAGAGCATCCTTCTTCCTATTTTCTTTGTTTTATTGTCTTTTAATTCAAGCAAATTCATGATAGATTTAAACTTCTTCAATTTTTGTAATTTTTCAGTTCAATCTCAAGTTTTTCAATCTCATTGTCACAGTTTTCAAGCTCTTTAACGTTTTGCTTGAGAGTTTCATCTTTGGCCTTCGACATCTCTTCGATCTTCTTCTTGAGGTACATCTATTATAATATTTTCTACAACTCTAACATTTTTTTCTTGAGAGCGATGATTATTTCTTGGAGTCTTGTTTTCTAACAATGATGTTGATGTGGTTGGTTGTTGAATTTTTTCTTTTAAAACTTTTTCCCCCCTCTTTATGGTACTTCATATTCTTCTTTCAAATAGGAAATCAATGTCCTTCTAAAAACTTTCACATGTACAATTGAAACCTCGTACATAAATGAATTCTTTTGGCTATGTTCAATGTAAATTGGGGCTGAAACATTTTGGAGCAATGAAAAATCTCTCACCCCCAATATCAACTTTCCCTTCGAGGCTGTTGTTACTTTAAAGTACTTGGTTAGTGTAATTCTTTTTTCATGTGTTTGAAAATAATTTCGTTCCAGTGGTTAACAGTAAATGAATAGGAATCAATGTCCTTCTAAAAACTTTCACATGTACAATTGAAACCTCGTACATAAATGAATTCTTTTGGCTATGTTCAATGTAAATACAAAAAATGATATCCATTTTCACTCGTACAAAATAAAAAGAGTGATGGATAATTACAAATAAAACAAAAAGAAAATTATTAAATTCAAATTCATATATATTAAAATAAAGAAGTGTTTTGAAAATATTATTTTATTATTTTTTATTTAAATTAGATATTAAAATAATTTTATTATATTTTAATACAAGATAAGAATATATCATATTATTATTTTAATTTAAGTAATTAGGATTATATACGATTAATATTTGATATTAAAATACATGTATATTGCACAAATGTTAGAAAAATAAATAAAATATATCAAATAGTTACCAAATTTGTGTTTAGAGTTGGAGTCTTTAATAGAACATTTCTCTTCTTTTATTTTTTATTTTTCTAAAAACAAATAATTTATTAGTATTTGTTTGTTATTGTCTTAAGAGATAATATGAGTAATATAATTTGTTATAATTTAATTAACTTTTAGAGTATAATTAATAAGAAATTTTGAAAAAATATGGTCGATAAAAAAATACTAATTTTATTGAATTTATTAAAACTAAATTATGTATAAATTGTTAAATTGCTTTAAGCAAGAATTTGGTTTTGATTGAGGAGTTCCATTTTAGTGAAAAAGGGTTTGGGATCCTGTGCAAGATTTTTGAACAAAACAGCAGATATCATAAAAAGAGAAAGGAACAAGACATGATTTGGCACATCCTACACTGCAGCTGCTGAGACACAAAAAGCTTCTCTTCTCACCTGCTTTTTCACTTCAATTATTGTTCATTAAAAATGAATGTGTGCATGTGGCTACATGGATCAAAAGTAATCAACTACTAAACTTTCAAACTTGTGTCCCCCAAAAATTTCAAACCTTTAAAAAGTTATGTTGAAAATTAAATCATTGCAAACCCAGCCCTAATGACAGTAAACATTGCCTCTCACCAAATACATTGTATGATTTCATGTGCTGGCCTCTAATTCATGCATTGCTCCCCTTTCATACAAACATGCTCAAATTCGGAGTTGTCAAATTTGGCCCACTGAGGGTTTTACAGTTTGTGGAGGCACAACCAGGAAATTCCTCAAATTTCCATAATAAATTCCCCATATTTGTTGTCAATTTGACTGGGAGAAAAATAAAAGAAAATCTCAAATCCAGTTGCTTAATCACATGAGCTACAAACGATACAATATTAATATTCCCTGTGATATCGGAATTGTTGAGCTTTATGGTGGAGTTTAAAAGCTATTGTTACTTTGTCTCAAACGCTAGCCAATAAATACAACACAGCTTATAGGTCTCCTATTTACTCATGCTGAATTATTCAGTTTTGATTTGTCTTCTTCTACTAGTTCCAATCTCAAATGGACCTAGCTAAGCATTTCTCTCTCTAATATATCTTCCACCGGCTTTCCTGACACATAATTTGAACACATATATTCTCATTACTCTGTGTTTCCCTATAGGGAATGTTGCCACACTCGTCCTGTGTAGTCTCAGTTAGTCACATCCTGAACTACACAGATCACCTAACTTTGTCCATCACTGTTCTTTAAAAGACACAACAGATAGTAGCCACAGTAGGACTCCCCACCAGCCTGGAACTTTCTTTTCTCACATTTCTGACCAAAAACAGAACAAAACCCCAACACTCGAAATAACATGTCCCCAGTTTGATGTTACTCTTCCACAAGTGGCTTCCATCTGTGTCACCCTTATTGGTGTGTGGCTAGGCATCTATGTGACTCAAGTTTCATCTTGCCAATTTTACTAGGCCCCATTTTAGCTGGATATCTTTAGACTAATCCCAAAGGTCCACAAAATTAGTTATACATGCTAAGGAACTTATCTTTGACACTTTTTATGCTTAAAGATAAGATGTGTGACTATAGGAGCGTTTGAGTGCCAATCCTTTTTGATAAACAGTGAGACATTATTTGACAAGCTTGTAAGTCACATGCTGAACCCCAGTTTAAGTAGAACAAATCAAGCTCTTGGAAGTAAGAGTGGACCAAAGAGGGGGGTGATGTTGAAGTTCTGGTTCATTTTTGTTGGGTTCATCCCACAAGGCTCAAGTGAAAATCATGCCCTTTCACTTGTGTCTCTCATTTGAACTGGTTGATGATGAAGAAAGTTAAAGAGGGTTCTCTGTTAAAGAGGATAAGATTTTAGCATTAGCCACACTATTGAAGATAAGGCTGGTGTTTTTGTACTTGCTAATCGTTTTCAGGGAAGCGACAATCACTAATGGCCGGCATGACTTAACTAAAAACTTAGCCTGAGTTGAATTTGGAAAGAGAAGGCACGTGACTTAGATGTGAAATTCAAGTACAAGTGGAGCCTTAACATGAGCGCGTGCAACTCCAACACGTGGATCCAAATCCAATCACTACATTTCACCCTCCTGCCATGTCGGATTTTATCTTCAATAAATTGTGCCTACATTGGAGGAGCTACATGCACAACTGCAATTTCAGCTTCAAAATGGGAAACATGGGTAGGAGATTTTCCAAGTTCAGGAGAATGGCAAGGCAACAAAGAGGGAAGTTTTACATTATGAGGGTCTGTATCTCTATGCTTCTAAATTGGCATAAGTACTCTTAGCCCCACAAACACTTCTTTTTGTGTTTTCCACCTGCTCTGAGCATCTAGCTCAATGGGTTTCACCCTTATACATTAGCATTTAATGAAATCGTGTAGTTAACATCTTTCAAGTGTAAATTGGGGCTGAAACATTTTGGAGCAATGTAAAATCTCTCACCCCCAATATCAACTTTCCCTTCGAGGCTGTTGTTACTTTAAAGTACTTGGTTAGTGTAATTCTTTTTTCATGTGTTTGAAAATAATTTCGTTCCAGTGGTTAACAGTAAATGAATAGGAATCAATGTCCTTCTAAAAACTTTCACATGTACGATTGAAACCTCGTACATAAATGAATTCTTTTGGCTATGTTCAATGTAAATACAAAAAATGATATCCATTTTCACTCGTACACTGTTACATGATCAGTTAAAAAGTTGATAGTCAATCACAACATTCTGTTGTGTGGAAGACATCATGTTATTTTCCACCAGTAATGTGCAACATATGAGGTGCTAATTAAAACAAGCTAAAGATCTCTTCTCTATCACAAGGTGAAATCCTAGCTGGACTATGTGATTGGTTAACTTTATAATAAAGTAAAATGTTTTGGTTAATTATTATCGATACTATCAAGGAGAATCCCTACAACACAACCTGAAATTCAGGCACAAATGCGTTTTCTTAGGGAATATACTATGCGTACAGTTAAAAAGGTAGATAATATATAGGGTTTGTAGAGACAGGGTTGGCCACTACTGTTAGGATGAGACTATGAGTTGTATTAAGTCCCCCTTGCTTAGTGATTTAGCAGGGAGACAGTGTGATAGAGACTACTTTGTCATCTTCCATTCTTTTCAGGGACCACCCATGTCACCTGTTATGCCTTCTCACACATTCTTCACAACCTTCTATAATTCACACACACACACACACACATACACACACATTTATATATATATAACAACTAGTTCTAGTTCCATAAGGGCTACAAAATCAAAGTACTATATTCAGTTCCAAAGATCTAAAGCACTAAAGCTCTTTCTTGTGTGTCCTTTAGGCCTTTGTTTTGTACCATGGCAAGACAATCCTTATCAATCCCAAAATCTGGGGGGTTAATGCAACGGTGTTCAAGGCACTTCAGAGAGCAGAAAACTAGATTTTATATTATATGGAGGTGCACGGTGTTTCTTATGAGGTGTGAAGATAGATTTTGACTGGTGTCTGAAAATTAGGGGAAGAACAGAGTTTTGAGAATACAGTGAGTTTTTTTACCATGCTATGTGTACACGCAGAGTGGCTGCAAGGCTTCAATTACATAGTCTCTGCCACAAGATTTGCTTCACCAAGTTGTTCTAGAATGTTACTTCGGCTGTAAAGGGCAAGGATCAACTGTTGAGGAACCAGAAATTCAGTCGTTGATAAACATGTATAGTTACTATATTTTGTTTTAGTGTTCCTTAACTCTCTTGGCCTGCTATTCTAAGTTTTCTTTTCACTGGTGAGAAAAAGTTATGCAATTAAGATCAATGGACCATTCTCACGTGGGTAACAAAATCTCTTTAGTAAATCTCCATCCTTTCTAATGTTTTCTTATTTTCTTTTTTGGGCTAACCATGCTTATCTAGTGCTCTTTTTTTCTGACCAAATACTGCATCCATTATATTAACTAAAGGCCATTCAGTTCTTGACCAGGTGATAATTTCATTTACAGCCATAGAGAATAGTAAGCTAAGCAGCATGGTGAACTATTTTACAAAGAAAATTTAGTTTTGACAGTTTCTGTTAAGACTATCTTGGATAATTTTAATTCAAGATTAAATTACTTTCAAAATCCAAGTGTAGAACAGACAATTTCTTACCAGAAATTGAGATATAAAAGCCAAAATTTTCATGAACTATTGGAGGGAAAAGTGGGAGATTGTTGAAAGGAAGTTGCAGTGGCACATTATTTATTGCTCTCCCAAGGAGAAAAAAATTAAAACGGATATTGACAACACAAGACAGACAGACAAACAAAATTGAAGATTTTCAATTGAGATATAAATTATTATGTGGTTGCATCATATATCTATCACATATAACAGCATCCTTCCTAACTACTTCAAAGAAAGAAAAAGATACGCTCGGTTCTGTTTCTTTTACCCACTTTGAAAGTTAGTTGTTTATTTAACAGTTAAAAAAAAAGTTTATCTTCCGAATATTGTAGATACCCTATAAAAAAACCCCAACGTCTCACTTAAATACACTAATTAAATAGCAATATTTATGATTATGTTTTTAATAGTTGTATTGGTTATCAAGGAATCATCTCCTGTTTTTATTGTACATGGTCCCCCGCAAAGGTGAAAAAAAACAAGAAATAAATAAACAAATTTTCTCTAATTCTTTTTTTTCATCATTAGTCTTCAGATGGCCTGAAAATATCTAACACATGTCTCACATGGATTAATTATATATATATATATATATATATATATATATATATATATATATATATATATATATAAGACTAAATATAGACAAAAATAATTATTGTAAAAATTAAAATTTAATATTTTATAGGAATTAAAAGCTTATTTAATTAAAAATTTACTAAAAAGTCATAATCTAAATACTGAAATAAAATTAAAAAAAAATAAAAATCATTTAACAAATTTAACAGAGAACAAAAGTAGATAGATTAAAAAGAGAAAACAAAACAGAGAGGGAGGGAGAAAAGAGAGAAAATATTGTTGTAACCCAATGTATATACGTTGATAACTTCTTTCTTATCAAAATATGTTTCACAACCAAATTTAATAATATAATAATAGTAAACAAAAAAAATTAAATATTTATTATTATTATTATTATTATTATATTAAAATCAGCTATTAAGAAATGTTTATAAACGAGTAGATGTCAAAATAATTTTTTCATATACATATCAAACGGTAAGGAAACATAGGAAAAATATTTACTTTGGAGAAATAAAAATTTAAATTTACCTTCGCTTTTCAACTTTCTCTTCACTTTAAATTTCAATTATTATTTTTTTCTCTTAATTTTGTTTCATCTGTTAAACACACCCCAAATTATTTATTGGCCAATATTTTGTCCTACAAACGCTGATTTTTCGGTAAAAACAGCATTTTGATCCAACATAAAATTGCAGCAGATATGCAGGAAGCACACCAGCTTAATAACTTTGTGCCATATAATAACTGTGCCATATAATAACGATACATCCGTTTAAGCCCTTCCAAATGGGAAGTTATTGATTTATACATTACAATATCAAATGACTAAAGAACTCTCTTGGGCTTCTTTCTCATCATGTTGCTGACACAAACATCCCATTTTCCTCAACGACAGAGTAGCACGAATTTCCTCAATGCTTTGTAGAATTAAATCCATTTTCCTCACCAGATTTTCTCGGAGTGTGCCCAGACTTACTTTGGATTCCCTGGATGGTTAGAAAAGAGAGACCAGAAAGGAAAAATTATTGAACACCCATGCCAGATGTAGAGTAAGGCTTACAAACTTTAAGCAAATAATTATTCAATCTCTCGAAGAGTCAAATCATTTACTTGTGTTAGGTCATTCAATGGCCTAAATCTCTACTTGGATAAACTACAATCTAAGTCATTGTGAATATGATAAAATACATTTTAGGTCCTGCAAAAAGTTGTTAGTTTTGGTTTTCACAGATTTTAAATTTTTAAAAAAAGTTTCTATCATAATTTAAAATGGCATATCACATCACGTATCACCTCAAAACAGTTACTAAAACTATTTATAAGCAAATTTACAGAACTGATACATATTTAACCTTAATTTTTATTTTCTTGAAACAATTTTTGCATATGTATACTCTTTCCGACAAGTTATCAGAAAAGAAAATGTATTGCATTACTCAATTTCAGACTCGTACAAACAAATTGGTTTACACTAAAAATGGATATGATGCAGACAACTTAATGGAAACTAGTTTCACGACAAGGGCCATTTCCTTTTTCATGCTCTCATTATGTAGAGTACAAATTTTCGCTTACTTCCATAGTGTTTGTTTCAATTGTCAATATAAGCATAAAAAAGAATGTTCATTTTAATAGGCCAGGAGGCACTTATCCACAAACACGAAATGGAATTATGACATAAATATACAATTAAGGTTTCTCATAAAGAGGAGGAACCATACTAGGAGGAGTTACATTGAATAAATTAGTTAATTAAAATTGAAGCAAAAAAAACTTCAGAAACAATAAAAAATATTAACTAATTCAGGGTTTAAACTATTATGCATTTTATTAGAACAAATGAACATAATCAAAACAAATTACTAGGCCCTGCATTTTGATAATATAATGAACATTAAGAATAAATACATCTTTTTCGCAATAAAATTAGAAAATAGTCAGTCCCAGAGATGTTGAGGCATGGATAACCAATAATATAAAAACACTGAACACATGGAAAAAAAGGTATGATGATCCTGGAGTCATTAAAACAGTTCCGAAATCCTATAATCTCATCCTCCAATCCTATATAGTGTCAAATTCTCAAAAATTGTTCTGCACTAATTTAAACTTGATACTCTTAGCAGAAGGAGAGATGCTATTTACATTAAGATATAAGTTCCTTATATCCACGTCCTTAAATTCATAGAATGTTATGCAAAAATTACCTAAAATTAAAGGAAAATAAAACATGAAAAGTAACCTGAAAATTCAGGACCATACCCCCAAAAGGAACCATTTTCTCGGCTTGAGGAAAGAAAAATATTGATTTCATTTAGTTACTGTGGTGGACAAGAAACACGTATTATAAGAACAAAAAATGAGTAATAATAAATCACTTACTGCTCCCTTAGTCAACCTTCGTGATGACGGTGCTCGGGCCACTGAGGAAGCAGCTGCAGCTGCAGCAACACGTATTCTGCGAAATAAAATTTATGTTCATCAAAATTCAGATTTACAGTAGTTTCTCTCTGCTACCTAATTTTTGAAATTATGTACTCTATTACCTTTTATGAACATCGACATATTCATCTGTCTCATCAACAATTTCTTCCTGTAACGATTAAGTACTATAATCAGTTTCAAGGGTTGGAAAAAGATAAACAAACACTGGACAGAATGGGAGGCTGTCTCAGAAGACAGAAATTTACTTGCAGAAGTTCTTCAAATACATCTTCCAAAGTGATAATACCAATCACTTCACCATCTTCAATATTTTCTGAAGAGGGACCATTTGTTGTGCTATCACTACGTTGCGAACCAGTCAGCTTATTATTGCTGGAAGGCTTTGAAGGTAGGACAATGTCAACAATAACATTTCCTGATTTTGCATCCTGCTTTAGTAGCAAGGGAGTCGTCAAATGTGAATCCCTATTAATGCTTTTGTTATCTTCATTTTTCTCCTCATCAATTATTTGTGGTGTTTCTTTGCCTTTTCCCCTAGCCTTAACAACAGCAGCCATATGACTACTTCCCTTCTGGAACTCATTAAGTATATCATAGAGAGGCATATCTGATGGAACCCTGTACATATAAACCCAGACACAAATTGGATATTAGACAATTAGTTTGAAAGAAAACAACACAAGAATAAATTAATAAAGACAAACACACCGTGGAATTCTCCGGATGGATACAGCACTGACGGGTGTCTCTGTTTCTGGTCGTACAGTGAGAAGACTTTTGACCTAACTTAATAGAAATAATGTGGAGAAAGAACCTAAGATATTATAAAATGGGAAAATATGAAGTAAAAAACGTGGAAAAACACGCACCAATAGAAGTCCAATGATATTCCTTGGATTTCCAGAATAGACAGGAACTCGGCTGTGCCCGCGAGCAAGAATTTTTCCCATTGCCTCCCTGATTTATGATTGGCACCAGTAAAACAAATTAAGGAAAAAACAAAAGGGAGAAAACAAGGATGATTCTACTCTTTACATGTGCTTTGTAGCTTTTGTGGGAAATAACTAGAGAAATGTTTCTACATTTTCTTGCAATTGGTGAAGTTGGAAAAGAGATATTCAGCAAAAATGTTAAAAAAGTGAAACAATCGAATTCTATCATCAAAACACAGAAGTCATTTCCAAAATAAATTCAATCACCTATTTGTGACCTGCTAAAGAATAGTGACCAAGAAGTTAAGAATTCTTACCAATCCAATTTTGAATTAACATCCAAAGAAAATGTTGATTCAATAGGAGTCATAGCCTCCTCAGCAGTCTGATAAAAAACACAAATAAAAAACACTTGAAAAACCAGTTTGTAATGCAAGCTGGAAAAGAATACATAAAATGCGACTTATATAAGTGAACATCATGAAGCATGATAGTAAAGTTCATAAGAATTAAAACATAAAGAAAACTTAAGTATGCATGAGAATGCATTTGCTTATGGAACAAAATCACTGAAAGTGGTTGGCCAAATTTGCATCATCATGGAGTGGTATGTTGATAAATATTTAATAAAATGATGTTTCCAATTCGATGTCCTATAACATTGCGTATTGACACCTCCTAGCATTCCAGGCAGAAGACAATCACTACAAGTAACCAGATACATAATATAACCTTCACATATCAACTTTCTATCACTATCAACGAATATTAGAACTCTAACAGGTAAGAAACTTCATATTCTGCTGCATTGAACATCATAAGCTGAAAATTGAACTGGACTGAAATGAAACACTAAGGAATAGGTTGACATTCAATGTGGCAGGTGAATTGCAGCATCTACCTTTTCAGTCAAATCAAGTGCTCCACTGATAATTGTTGTTTCATCATGTGTAAGCTCACCACCTTTCCCAGCCTATAAACAAGAAAATTCAACATATATGAATCAAACACCAAGGACAGGACAATTAGTAGCTTCATCAATTTTGACATGACTAGTTCTGTTAATAGAAAAATAATTATAAATTTATACCTCCTGGCTGTGAATGGAGACAAGGGCTTTCAACTGAGCTCGCCTAAATAAAGCCTCATTATGCCCCAAGAGGTAATCCAGCACCTGGAACAACAATTAATGAGAAAAAAAAAAAAAAACGTGCAAAGGACTTTATCATTAAAATAAAACCCATTGACGATGAATGAGAAAAAAATGATGCTCTATGCTTTTTCTGGTGTGAGGAGCTACAATTGTAGAGAGACAGATATATAGCTATCAACATGACATTTGCATACTGATGACTAGTGGAAAATCTTGAAATGATGGTATTCTATAATTTCCATTTCTATGTTCTCTTCTCAAATATATGATATCACCAAGGAATAACTTCTGCAGGAAGATATACCTTTCCAACAGGATAAGAAACAGGGTAACAGATAATCATTAAAATCCGCACTAGCCATGCAAAGTTGGCACCTACAGCAAGACCGTATCTACTACAAATTGCTTGTGGAATAACCTGAAATCAAAGAGACATTTTCTTTTACAAGAGGACTTCACAATATCCATTTGATACAAATATTGAGGCTAAACCACCGAGTCATAGAGACAGTAAAATCACATACCTCCCCAAAAAACAGAACGAAAGTTACAGAGAGAATGATAGCAACAAACTGATTGAACAGTTTATCTAGGTATAACGGCAGAGCCTGCAGATTGCAAGTTTCAAAGCCAATGGCTGTAAAAAGTTAGACAGGATTCAGGAATCAGTATAAAGTGTATACACAGCCATATTAAGCATGAATGAGCATTCAACCCGTCACTAGACAGTCAGTATGACATGAAAAATAGGAAGTCATATCCAGCAAAAAAAAGCATGGCAATTTGAAATTAGTTATTTTAATCTTCCCAATCCAATATATAGTTAAATCAAGATGTTGCCTATTTGTAAGAAGGTTTATTCATTGACATCCTTATTTACAATGAACCTAAATGGATAAACTTTCCTGTAAGTATTTGTAGAAAATGAAATAAACCAAAAAAATGTATCAAATTTCTTTCATAATTTGGAAGTAACTTATCCATCAATGCACACAAACATGAAAAAAGAAAAAAATTAGCATGGTGCTGGTATGAAACTAGTCTACAAAAAGTCAGTCATGGCATGAACTCCAATCAAACAGCTTAAACTTCATCCATAATAACTGAGAATGAAAATTAATTACAGTAAAAAGGAGCAAAGCAGTCTAATTACCTCCATGGCAACAGCATTACAGAGGAGAAGAGTGACAAGAAGCTGATGTTGTTTTTTCACCACAGGAAGTATAATAGCTGCATTTACATCCATACATCCACGCATACATAAAATAACATGCGAAAATTGATAAGAAAAGAAAAAAAAAAAAAGGAAAGAGGAAGTACCAGCTTGCGCTTTCTCAGCAGGAGAACCACTCCGCTCCAGAATCTCAAGGTCGACAAGACCAAGAGACATGAGACCGAGGGTGAGACCGGACATGATGCCGGCAAAGAGGACAAGCAAACACGAGATTCCAGCATAAATGAACCACCAAACCGATCCAAAGGGTATGTTTTCATTGCCAAGCATCGGGAGCGGGTGATCCCGTGTCAACATGCGAGCCACCATCAACGCATTCACCACCCTCATCGTTTCACTCTGACTCTGATTCTGATTCCGATTCACGATATAAAGTGTTAAGAGCTGAGGAATTCGTTGGGCTGATTCGTCAGGCGAGCAGGATTAGACGGTGATCCTCAACACAGTACCCCTACCCAATCACACCACAGATCCACGTCCCTACCTTATTCAACCATTCCTCTCTCTGAAAAATAAATAAAACCTTATTCTTCTTTCACGACTAAATATTAATTATGCCAAACTTTTGCACGGTTAAGAGTAAAAATTGAAAAAAAAATATTATTTATATTGAGATATATAAATTTTTTTTTATAAGTTTAATTTGATTTGTAGTAAAATACTAAATTTTTGAACCAGCAAGACACTTAAACTATTTACTTAAAAAATATAAATAAAATTCACGAGCAATGAACGAAATATATGAATTAAATTAATAATATATATGTTATGCATGTGTTGAACCACACCCACATATTAACAAAAATTAATTGTTCAAATATGTTCATTCAAGTTATTAGTTTATTCAGAGATTTTTGTTGGCACATCTCATTTCTGTTTTGTCGCACTTGTACTTGTCGTAGTACTTCTCCAATTCACTTCACCATATATTTCTTTCGGTCTTTTTTTTTTTTTTCTTATTTGTTTCTCTTGATTCTCCCATTAGGTAGCTGTATAATTGGGAGCAAACATAAAATATACCTGAATCAGATACACAATACTTTATGTTGTTCAGGTTTAAATCACCTAAAGATTCCATTTGTAGTTGTACAATACCAATCCTAAGAACCTCATCAACATCCTTTAACTTTTTCAATCTTTACCAACTTCTTTGCCTTTTTCTCAGTTTTCATTAAGCTTTTTGTCAGCCTTTTAAGGCATTAGCTATCCACAACATTTCTATCACTTTTATTATTATTACCCAGAGGAGCTTCATCAAACTTCCTTCCCATGAGCTGCATTGGTCCACCATGAAAATTTCACTCTCGTTAATAGTGATAAAGGATATATATATAATAATAATAATAATAATAATAATAATAATAATAATAATAATAATAATAATAATAATAATAATAATAATCCTGTTAAAACGGACCTTCAAAACTATTTTGACCTAATTTTATAAATCAAGTAAATTCAGACTTATATTTTAAATGAATTATAATATTTTACCCAATTTATCTTATATTAAATTAATGAATTAATTTTGACTTAATTCAAAATTTAAAAATATATATTAATATATTTATATGAAAATAATTAATTAAAAAATATTTAAATAAAAATAAAAATAATATATTTTTAGATTTTAATCATATTAATAAAATTAATTTTTAATTTAAATATAATAATTTAATATATAAATTATGAGAAAAATTATTTAATTTCAAAATACAAATTTAATTTTAATTATTAGTATTTCTTTTTTCAATAATTTATTAATTTAAAGTAATAATTGATCTTAACTTAATTATTAAATAATATAATAAATGGGTGATAGAAATTTTTTTATTCAGTAAATGCTTGTTCAATTAACTTATAATATATATAATAAAATAATATCATTTATATTTTATTTTAAAAATTAATTATTATTTTATAAAATTATCCGCTTATAAATTTACAAACTGTTCACATTTACGTATAACTTAAATAAGATAAATTAAAAATAAACTTAATTTTATTTAATTCACCAAAATTTATGCTAATCTTCGGACTTTTTTTAATCGTATATCTATTTTAACAACTTAAATATCTATTATAATATATATATATATAATTATTATTATTATTATTATTAATGTGAATTTATGCATGGAAGTCTTAAATTTTAATTTTTTTAAAGTAAATTTAGATAAATTATAAAAATATTGTAATCTAATATACAATTAAAATTGATTTGTTATTTAAAATATTTAAATGGATTAAAGATTGTGTTTAAATTTTTAATATTCAATTAAAAGACAATGTTTTTATTAATTAGTGTTATCTGGTCTTAGTACCACAGGGATTACAACAGATATGTAAAATATTAGGTTTGATTTGCCGGTATATTTATGTATCATATAGTTTGACTGAGGCTTTATAAAAATGTTGTTTAAATAAAATTATTTCTTTTAGTTTAATATGTTTTGTTCCACAAACATTAAGGTAATAAAAAATTTAAACATAAATGTTTTTTAAAAAACAGGCCTAATCCAGAAAAATAGTTATGATATATATTCATTTAATATGTAGTTAAATAGGTTTAAGTTGATGAATTACTCAATTTTATAAAGTATTAATTAATTTTAAAACAATATATATACATATATATATATATATATTAAATTATTATATTAAAATTAAAATTAATTTTATTAATATAACTGAAAATTTAAATAAATATTTAACTTTTTTTATTTTTTTTAATTATTTTATTTTATTGAATAAATTAGGTTTTATATAAATAGATTGTAATTTGATTAGTAACTTTTAACCAGACAAAAATATTTTACAAGTTCATTGATCTTATATAATTACTACCATAAAAATATGATTAGTGTGAAAGGTGACGTCAAATTGTATTGCAACTTATTGAGGGCCTTGGAACATTAGTGAATGAAATTAAGCCTATAATAAATAACTAAAGAAGAAAATACAAAGTCATTGCCCTAGAACAAATAATTAGTTAAAAGAAGAAATATTGATGTAACATCATACAAAGACATATGACAACATGATTCGGAACAAAAAATGCATATAAAAAGTATTCCATTTTATAATAAGGATATAATTTTCTTGTAATATATTCATCTACTTTGAAATTCAAATAAATATTATAAAGCTTCAAAATCCATCAGTTAGTTTCTTAAATAATACTGTAAATATAATAAAAATGCATACATATATATAATTTTAAGAAGAATTTATTTTAATCAATAAAGTATTATTTTATAATTAATAAAAAAGTTAGATAAATTTAAAATCTTCAATTAAAAAAAATGATTTGGTTTATATAAAAAAGTTAAGAAAACTACTCAAATTTATTATTATTGGACAGTTATTACTTTAATTTCTTTTAAAAGGACGTTTAATTGCAAAAATTTATTCTTACTGTTCTTTGTCACAACTTGTGCTAAAGTTGCAGCATTAGATCTCAACAAAATTTTATTTCCCTATAAATTTTTCTTCCTCTTTTTGTTGTACCTTTTACATCTTAAAGTTAGAAGAAGAAGAAATGTTTAAGATGTGAAAATATCATCTGGATATCGTAACATAATAGTCAATTAAACAGGTTGATTTATTAATATAACTGGACGAGAATTGAATGTTTGAGATATCAAAATATCATTCTCCCTACTCAAATACTCAGTTAGACAGGTTATTGAGATTCTACTTAATTTAGTTTTTGATAAAAAAAATTCAATTCAATCATTGATATTTTAATCAATAAACCATCTCAAAATATTTTTTTTCTCTCTTATTTTATTTTGTTTCTAAAATATTTTGAGGATCAAAATGTTATTTCCTGGTAAAAAAGCAACTACTAAATTGTTATTTCATGGTAGAATGATTAAAGCCATGACTTGTATACACTTTTGAATGGGAAAGACATTTCACTGGCAACATTAACAGAATTTCACTTGCCAATTCCCATTGCAGAAGTTCATCTTTGTCCTTCTTCCATTATCTCCTTTATTTTAAATTAGAATATTTTATTTTATTATTTTTATTTTAGTAAGCAATTAAACCTCGAATTTCTACGTGTGTAAAATGTATGTACTTTTAATTAGTTTAAACTCAAAATAAATATTTCTACAATAAACAATTTAAAAAAAATCACTTACTTAAATATTAGATAGGATTTCCTTAGAAAAACCAGATCATTTTCTTGATTAATACAAGAAATAAATTTTCACAGGCACATTTAAATTTGCATATACACGTGTATATTTTTTTTTTTGCAATAAACAAATTTACAAAATTAAGAAAGTTATTAGAAATCCTAAGATAAAAAAAATAATGAGAAAGGTTTCATTGCCCATTAAGATTTCAGCTTCAGCAATCATCAAATGATCCAGCTTCTTGTAACATTCCGCCCCCACCTTTGACTTAACAGGAAAACAGAAGGAACTACGTTATAACAAAAACCACATCAAGTGCGTGTGATCAGTTTTAATTCTTATGTTGTCAATTCACTAATTGAACATGTGATCATGAACCATTCACGTAATGTGGGAAAGAGGGGACGCAGAACAAAATAACAAACCAGGAAAAAAAGTAATATCTAATTCGTGACAAATTAGATTAGACATTAGAGTCAAATTAAAATTCTGCAGAAATCTGGTGTCTTTCAGTTATAAACTGATATAGAACCTCTCTGGTGATCGCAGAAGATTTTGATATCAGAAGAATCACTCAGAGGTAATATGCTGCCGCTTAACCATCCTTAAGGGATGACAGGTTCAGGAATCCAAACATGAGGGTGATAAGTTTCATCAAAATAATACAATAAGCTCTTCAAGCTCCCACCAACACTGTCACTCTCTCTAGGCAAATATGCCTTATATAAGCTTTTACATCAGTCTATCGGAAGACCCTGGCTTCAACGTGTGATTCTTCTTCCATATTGATTCCACCCTTGCAGCTCCACCGGTGGGAGCCTTGAATGTGGTCATGACAGTCATCAAAGCATCCACTGAAAGATAGAAGGATAAAACCTTGCAACCCCCCCCCCCCCCAATGGGGGAGTTGAACTGCTTCTTGCTCTTGATCACCAACTTCCAAGTATGTTTTTAGGGTTATAGAAAGGCTACTATGTATACCCACACCAAATGATGCTTTTTGTGATAAAGTTTAGTAACCTTGCAAATCAAGGGGTCTCTCGATTCTGAGGCTATGCAGTAGAATGCGTAGCATTGAACTTTAAACACTTCACAGTGGTCCAATATTGTTTATCCCTTCCATGAAGGAATTCATAGGGTCCAGATTCAACAAGATAGTGGAAAAGTTTATTTGCACAGACAAAATTATATAAAATTGCTAGAATAGCTTTTCCATTGTTCTGGCTACTTCTCATATGATTAAAATTTGTAGGCTGTTGTCCTCTTCGAATCTTTTGATGATCCAGGCTTTGCAATTGCAACATAAATAAACCTGCCATCAAAAAACTGCAAAAGAAATCCAGCTCCCAGATCAAAATCATTTAGTTCGGATGGGATAGGATATCTCTTATAAACTCTCAAAAGTATGCACACCTTTCCATTCATCTCTTGCACAGCCACTTGTGCATACTCTTCCTTTACAAACCAAATAAATGCAAATCCTAAAGACTGTCCAGATTCTTCATCTATAGGAAGCTGCACTGCCATAAGATAAAATTAGTTAAAATTAAAGGTCCTTAATAGATTCAAGACTATCAAAAAATGAAATTCCATTCAATGCAATCATAGCAAGTATCCCGTGGCAATTAGTGTTAAATCCAAAGATAACTTGCCTAAAAACCATGCCAACCACCCAAAAAGGATTTATTATTACCTAGATTAACTTCGCCAAACTCTGAAAACACCTTCATTAGTCTTCCTTCAGAGGTTGAGAGCGGTAGCCCTGCCATGGCCCACCATGAAAACTTCATTACAATGATTTTCATCACAAAAAATGGGTGCCGAGAACTTATTATTAAGACTAATAGTGGATCAAACAATATCAACTCAACATGTTACCATCGTCCGCATGCAATATAACAGATTTCTTCTGATGGTGATACAAGAGTGGAATGGATTCAATGATTTCTTTTCAGTGGTAAAGATGATTTATTAGATGACAGGTGACATCCACGTGAGAAATTTAGTAACATGGACATAATACTTGGTATTGAAGAAAAAGAGACACTGCCTAGGATAGTCTCAACTCTCAAAAACTTGTTAAATTCAAGTATGTGGCTTTTCATTCCTTATAAAGCTCCAAAAATGGGTCAAGCTCAAATAACCCAATAAAATGTGTCGGCTAGGCTATCAAAAACGAAGCATGAAATTTGGTTAACCTTTTTCTGGCTCAGCTCAAAGTTGGGGTTGCCAGCCTTTGGACAATGTCCCCATGCTAGCATATCAACATTTTTTTTTTATTTGAAGAATTGAAGACCAATTTGTTATCGTGAATAAAGCATGGACACCTCTACAGAAAATGTGTTGGCACATCTGACACAACACTGTCAGACACACCTTGGACATATGTTAGGCCTCCGCAGGTCCACTATGTCTCAATTAAAAAGTAGTTTTTTCGGTTAGTAAACCTCTCCAAAGCAGCTTGGATACTAGCCAAAAGAGTGAGGGGACATCTACTCTTCACTAAACACTTTTCATGCACTCCTATCACAATTTTTAAAGTCAACTTATATTATATATACTGCAACACTCACAACATTTACTTTGGAAAGGCGCATTATCATAAGAGTTCTGTTAGGATATAGAATGAAGGGTTGCAAAGTAGTTACCAATTAAAGGGATATCATAGGCCAGACCCATCATATCTATAAATAGGAAGATACTTGGCTAGAGGGGAGGCATTCAAATAAGTAAATATTTGCGAGAATAGAGCAATAGCTTTGTTGTTTTCATCCTATTCAATAAAATCTTCCTTTCCTTTTATTATTTATGTTCTTGATTCCAAACAACTTCTCTAGATGTCGATGTCGGTGTCCATAAGTTACCATTGATCCAAAATCGTGGCACTCATTCTCATTAATTTTCATTTTTTAAATATTAGACATATGACATTTATTTTATGGAACCTGCTTGTCCAACTCATGTTGGACTAGAATGACAAAATGCTAACTGAAAGTAGACCAGAATTGGGCTGGCCTAGAGTAGCTTGAACCAAGATTTATCATCTATAACTCCCAGCTAAGTAAAGAGATTCTATTTCACTTACAAGTCTTTTAACAATTTAAACTCAAAGGGACTTCTCTCAGAAGTGCACAAGTAATTGTGCAATAATCCTTCATGTAATCAAACATACATAATGATCTTAACCCACTACAATTCATGACTAGATATGACCTTATTTGCTAACTTTAGAGAGAATGACATTTTAGATGAGATGCTTCCCTATTTCAGAAGCAAACGTCTATAGATAAGCATTAGATACCCAGAACGAGAAAGAATGTAAACGTTGAATTGTGCGTACATTCTTATTATTATCCAGGACCAGGAAAGAAACGTTGTATGGTGATAGAGAGAGAAAACGTTACCCTTGACGAAGACTTTGGCCGAAGAGGCATTGGATTCGATAGAAGCGGTAGCGAGAGAGCTGCAGCAAATCGACGCGTAGCGAAGAGGAGCTGAGATAGAAAATGATGGTGAAGAAACGGCAGCACATTTCGTGACCCACATCGATTGCTTCGAAATTCTGACTCGGCGAAGCGATACATCTGGAGGTGGACATGTAAATAGCACTATCTGTTTTGCCATCGGATTTCGAAACTCGCGACCTCTTCTTGTGAATGTCGTAACAGAAAAGATAACTAGCAACTTCAACTACCAAATCCTGAACCCCTGCTATGTAAGTGGTAATAACCCATGTAGGTGACCGAGGCTTTTCTTTGGGCCGATCAGAATTGGAGTAGCCCAAAAGTTTTCATCATGGATATATCTATGATGGGCCGGCCCTGAGAGCGTAACCCAACATTACTCCTGAAAAGGAAAAGGGAAAACTCAGGTCAGCCTATTCTATTCTACAGTGACATAGTTATGTCATTAAATTTAGAAGAGAAGTGATATTTTGATACCTATCTAAAAAATATATCTATTAGACAATCGTAATTATTAATATTATATTTCTAAAATGATTAAATTGAAATAAAAATAATTAAAAATTATTATTTAATCAATAAATCAAGTTGTTGATGATGGGTGGTATGAAAAAATTGGGTTATGAATGAAACATTTTCCAATTTAGAATCCCATACAATTATTTCACTATATAGTATTTCTAAGTGTTGTTTGGGCTATTTATTACTATTTTTATTTTAATTAACCTAGAAAAAATGTTTAATACTTTTACTTTATGCTTAAATATAAAATAATTAAAGGAAAAAAAACTACTCTCCTAAAACACAAATAACTAAGTAAAGAGGGAAATTACTGACTTAATCGTATGTAAAATTTCAAAAGGCATAGTTGTCATAGAAAAAAAAAGGCATAACACTACCTATAAATAAAAAAAAGTACAATGAAAAAGTGTTCCATTCTAAATTATGAGAGTTCGAATTTCTCAAGTAATTGTATTATACAAATTTTCGAAATTCAAAGAAGCAATTTTAAATTTTACTAATAAGTATCTTATACTTAGTAAATATAAGAAAAGTGTGAAAAAACTTATTAGGAAAAATTATTTTGAATCGATAAACTATCTTATTCTCAATTAATGAACAAGGACAAGAATGGAGAGGTCATGTCAGTTTTGAAGAACACGAACTAAAATTTATTATAATGGCTAGGGTTATTTATTTAATAATTTCTTTGCAGGTGTAACTTTTTGTTTTTTTCTAGGGTACTTAATATCGTTTAGAAATATAGGATCGAAATTATTTGTACATGTTTAATTTATCCGTTCACATGCGCATGCAACTTAGACGACAGACCATGATAGCCGCAGAAATAATGAAACCATAAAATCTTTCTCCAATCATATATATACTACATGATATCTAAAGCACTACTTAGCGTGACAAAGATTCACTATTCCCACGATTCAATCTGATAAAAGTTGGAAAAGGAATGACATAATGCGCATGTGTCTACTTTTGCAGGCTTCAAAAACAAACAAAGCAGGCTAACCAAACAAGTGAAAGAAAGACTTCAACGATATATAGTTTTGCATTACCTTCATTGTTATCACGTTTCAATTATCAATTAATTATATATATACATACACAAACGCATGCAAATCTGGGATATAACTTTATTTGGAGATACGATGCCTGTGACAGACTCCGGAAGGTTTGCAAAGAAATCCAATCCCCAATCCAATCCGAAACGATAACGATGAGAGAAAAATCTAAGTGGAAGATATACATAGGAATAGCATTAGATTAGATCTACCTAAGATAACGTAATTAACAAAGATTTTTATAGTGAAAAATTGACCTAACAAATATACTCTAAAAACTGAGTCAAAGCTTATATAAAATAGTGTGGTTTAGATGTTGTTGAAGATTCCATCCTATGGCCAACCTCTGACTGAAACCGTGTATAGCTAGCTTGCTACGCGTTTCTTAGTTGTAAAACGTGGTCCTGCAGGACAAAATCACCCACTCCTGCTATGGACGAATGCTACATAAAAGATTCAACAATTGCCACAAACTATTCCATAATCTTACATTTTCACTCCATACCCTACCACACTAATCTTTGACGCATTAATTAATATGTCTGTCCTAGCCAGCAAGCATGCACACGTGCACATTATTGGTCGTAGTTACTATTACTTGATGAAATGGGAAAGTCGGTAGATAGTCATACGAAGAAAACGAAAGGAGTTATGTATGCATGTAGTAAAGTAAAGCATACATTGTGATTGTGATTATGATTATGATCGTGGTCTTGATCTCGAAGCTACAAAATGCCGGCACCGTCGAGTTTAATTTTCATCGCATCCACACACACCTTCCTTATCCTCTGTATTAAGAATATGCTGACGAGCACATTGGTTATGTTCCCATTACAAAACTCTCATAGACAATATTAGAGTTTGAATCTAATTCTATTGTATAATATATTATTTATAAAAGATGATTCGATTGATCAAGAACCAAAGCTTGTTTACTAATGGAAATATAAGCAAAAATAAAGGAGTAAAATGACTATATTATTTAGTTTTACTGACAAAAATAGATCGAAACGAACTATTATTGTGGGTGATGATGCCTATCCCCGCGTCGCTCTCGCGATGGCATCGTCTGAGCTCTCTCTGGTCGCTGTCTATCACATCCTCTCCAGTCTGTTAGTTAGAAGTGCATTGGCTCAATGTTAACAATTCTCCACCGACAAATACGTATATTTTCCATTATATATGCTTCAATCATTTTTCGTCCATTCTATTTCTTAATCATTGCTGTTGCAACACCAAACAAACATCGTCCATTTGTTACACTCAGAAAAATTCAAGTTTATATGTTTAAGAGGGTTTGAATCTTGCTACTTACTGCAGAGTGAGCGTGCGCAGCATATGATAGTTGCGTGTCAATTTAACAATGAAATTATATATGTGTATAATTCTTTATTCTTTATCTCACTTTTTAATCATAACATTTATGCTTTATCTTCCTTTTGTAGCTCCTCCACTTAAGATGGATTACAGAGTAGTCGTTTTCCCTCTCAGTAAGATGAAACTATATGCGTACAGTGACATGGAAGAACAGTATATTGTCACTTAGTAGTATAAAGACCCTTTGATCTTTCTTCTTCTGTCGTGTACACCTCAAAACGAAATGTACACGCAATATTTTGCTTCTTAATAAGTTGAATATGTTTATGTACAATGACTAAAAGAACGTTATATTGTCACTTGGTACACCTAGCACAATATGTTGGCCACAAAGATAGGATTGATGGGATGCTTTCATCTCTATACTATTATTAGCAAAAAGACCTTTGCTTCCTTTTTGGTCCTCTATCATAAGATCATTGGCTGAATTATCTAAGTGATCATCAATTCGATGATCATTTCAGGGACAAAGGGGAGTTTTAGATGCATCTCAATCAAGCTAGAAAATAACTGGACAAACAGGAAGGACAAATGAAAAGGAGGGCAAGGGTGTCCACTCAATTCTTTATTAATTTATTTTGTCATGATGCATACTTTTTTTAAATATTTAAATTTATTTATTCTTCAAATTATATCAATTCTTTCAATATTTCTACTGTTTTTTAAATAAAAATACACAACGTTGAAGCTTTAAGTATTTTATTATTATTATTATTATTATTATTATTACACACTACTATATATATATATATATATATATATATATATAAATTATTTAATACAAAAAATCAAAATGAAAGCTTTAACCTTTGTTTATATCTGATTGTTATACTATAGAAGAGGAAACGAGAGAGTGAATTTGGAGATAAATAAGTAATTTGAATTTGATGATTTGTATGGAAAGTATGGTCTCTACAATGAATTTGAAACCCATAAAATATAAGAGATTTATAGATAAAGTTATACCATTTTGTCTTTATTAATTATTAGTAGATAGAATAAATAAAAATAACTAATTATGGAAGAATAAATAATCTATTATCTCTTCTTTATATAATTAATTTTATTTTAATTGTAACAAGTGTAAAATACAAATTAATTATATTTGAAAAGTTAAGACTTCAATTTTATTACTCAAATAAATCAAAATAATATAATTACATATAATTTATGTTATAAAATAAAAAAATATATTTAAATTTTCATAGATTAAAAATATATTTTTTAAAATATGTAAATAAATTTAAATAAATCAAAATATTAAATAAGTATATATATATATATATATATATATTATATGTTATAAAATAAAAAATATATTTAAATTTTCATAGATTAAAAATATATTTTTTAAAATATGTAAATAAATTTAAATAAATCAAAATATTAAATAAGTATATATATATATATATATATATATATTATTGTTTTATTTTTGTACAATAATAATGTTAAAGTAACTAATTTATTTATTATATTTAATTTTAATTTATATATAAATTATTTTTAATTTTCATTTATATGTAAATTAATTTATTTTTTATTTTTTTATATATTTATTTTATATTAAATTATATTTTAATTTTAATTTATATTAATTCTTAATAAATTATATAAAATTTATTCATTTATTTTATTATTTAGTTATTTTTAATTAATCAAATAAATCTTATTTATTATAGTTTTTCCCTCGTTTCTTTTCACTTTCAATTTCGATCTTCTTTCTTCTAATATAATCAATTTTTTTCTTTTTTTCACTCTCTTAATTTCACTTCCAAATACAAACTTATAATTTGTCTAAATTTCACATGGTATGCTCACCTTTTTAGCATTAAAATAACTCATTTAATTAATTGTTTAAAATATATTACATTATCTAAGAAATATTTTATACAGCCTATTCATTTGCTCTAAAAAAGTTTAATCATGACCGACACTTTGGACGAGAAAGTGTTAAATTGGTTTCGTATCACATATATATTTTGAATCAAGGTAACTCAATTTATTTAACTTTATATTTTTTACTTTTTAATTATTATGTATATATATGTTTATTTTATTTAATTATGTTCATAACCTTTAGAGAATTGTAAACAATATTTAAATTTTTTAAACTCAAGTCATACAAATCAAATTCGTAATAATCGATGTCTCAAGAAGGTTGATATTTTTCATAAATATACATAAAAAACAACTAAAAACAGTGAATGAGAAAAAAAAAATACAAAGTGCACAAACACCAAGATCGTCCTCTAATAATGGATATGTGCTGTTATTCATATTTTAGTATATTGGAATTAGTTCGTTAAATATATTTTTTAATATAATACTGAGTATATATTAAAATGAAACTTTCAATTTATAGAGGTAGATTTTGAAAATAGATAATTAATTGAAAAATTAATTGTGGTCCTAGTTGGAGTGAAGTGGACCAAGAGAATGATGTATCGGTTTTGACCAAGTTTATAATGTTGCTATTGAGGCGGAACTTAACGACCATTGGATGAGAAAAAAATATGAAAAAAATGAGAGATAGATATGAAGAAAAGAGAGTATTAACAAATTCATTTTTTAAAATTAAATTTAAAATTGTATGATTTTAATAACTTGAAAAAAAATATTCAAATATTATAATTTTCCATAAAATATTTTTAATTTTATTTTAAAAATAAATACCTTATGAAAATTTAACGTCCAAACATAAGCTATATTAAACCAAAGTATCATATATATATATATATATATATATATATATATATATATATATATATATATATATATATATATATGTTTAATCTGATTTATTTATATATAAATAATATGATATGAGTCGACAGTTTAAGATGCAGTGGATGAAGAATAGCAAAAGGAGGTAATAAGCTTGTACATAAATGATTATGATATATCTATTAATTATTAGAGGTGAGTAGCAAAGTGGTCATCATAAATTGGCGATGAATCACTTTCATACACTTACTGAATTATAATAGAAGAACAGATATATACTATGCTTCTTTTCTTTTTTTTCCTTAGCAGATATATATTCTATGCATGTAATTTGAGGTAGACAAAGATGCCTACTGGCAGCAATAATGTAAAATTATTACTCCTTTTATCTTTTCCTTTTTTTAATGGGATGCCGTTATGCCGAGTCAAGACACTATGGGCCTTTGCTAAAGCTCATTTTGACCATACTTCCACTTCTTCATTCATTCATTCATAAATCTCCATTTCTGCACACTAGTTTTATTGCAGCCTAATTACAAACATCTTAAAAGAACCCATTACGTGTTTTTAGTTTGACAAATTTATATTAACTTAATAATTTCTTATACTTAGTGGGAGTATATAAAACCACACTGTGCTACTTATATTTATTGGTTGGAATTTGGATGAAGACAAAGCCCATTGCTACCTTTTGTCTCTTTTTCAAGATTCCCCATAAACACTTGGCATAAGAATATATATATATATATATATATCAAGTAATTAGTTTAGTTACTCACAATCAATGTACCTGATTTAACATGTAGAATCACTTGTCAAGTTTTATTGAAATTAAGGCTACATGTGTAATATTCTTCAACAGAAATTTTACGTGACAGTTTTAGCATACTTATGTCATCAATACACACCCCTTCTGAACTCTTCATCGATCCATCATCACAGACTCTGTCCATTCCATTTCATCATCATAATCAAAACAAATAGTAATTTGATTCCCGCATTGGGGTTCAAGTTGCCTTCTCTTCTTTCATGAGCGGTGATTCAGGCTGCACACCACAATTTCATATATCCAAATCCAATATCAATATCTTACGTTACGTGTAAACTTTAGAGTTAGCTATCTATTATAACGCACTGTGTTGCTGTTGGTATGCTACTTCAGAGAAAGACGCAAATTGGGGCATCGCCAGAAATAAGAGAGGATCTACAACAATGGATTGGACCCCACGAAGAGACAACATATTACCAAGTTTAATGCAGGTGCACCGCACCCTATCGGTACGGAAGCTTTCAGAAAGGGTACAGAGAAGGCGCCCAAACTACCTAAGTCAAAAAGAATAAAACATAATAAAATGCATTATTTTAAATATATTCCCATTATTAATTAAACTATTATTCAAATCTTCGCTTTGGATCTCTCTCTATATATAACTATATTAAATACTTTTTTTTTGTTATATAATAATTTTACCCTAACTCATATAAGGTTTTTTCTAACAATTGAATTAATCTTCTAGCTTATAGGAAATGTCCGTCGAACAATATCTAAAAGATAAAAGGACTTAAAACATGTTTTAATTTTTTTATACTAGAAATTGTCATAGAAGAGTATTTGTAATATTATTGCATGTAGAAAGCCGAATGTAACAAGAATAACTTACCGGTTAAGTTTGTAACAGTGGTCACTCATAGCAGTAATTAGCGAAAAATGTATAAATTTAGGTTTGTCAAATTATCATTTTTCTTAGCGAAAAATGTAGTGGGCATAAGGTAAGCTTCATTAATATAATTAACTCATATGGATCATGGATCACTGTTAAGTACTATATCGGTGATGATTGTAACACATTACATATATAGTAGTAAGTAACAAAAGATTATACATATAGTAAGTAAACTTTGCTTTATAAGACCAAACAAAATTAAGAAAAAAAAAAAAAAAAGATATGTGAAATGGCATGAAGTGTCATCGGAGGCATGTCAGTGGCGACGTTTAATTTAATTTTCTGTATAGTATTAGATTCTGTGGCGGCCCTATCTCTAGCGAGTGGCGGCAGCGGCGGCGGCCATGGGCGGAGGCGAAGAAGCGATAACAGAAGCAATACCAACATCAACATGGGTGTCTTCGTAGAGGAACTTGTGAAGAATCCTTCGACTTTTGGATAGAACGTGATCCTCCCACGCTTGCTCTGCTTCTTGGGAAGTGCTCCTGAGGAAAACCTCGGTGGCGTCGAGGCGGTGCATGTTCCGTTTCCAAATGCCGTGGAGGCGGTGAATCTTGTGGAGCTGTCGGGTGGCGAGGTTGCAGTTGTTGATTTTGATGGAGGCAATGGCACTCTGGAGGAGCTTCTCCTTGGTCCTCTCATCGGCTCCGTCGGCTTCGGCTTGGAAAAAGGAATGAAACTCGGGGACGCCAATGGCCTTTCGAATGCCTACACTGTAGTCGTGGTCGAGGTAGTGGAAAATTCGTCGAACCTCGTCGACCTGGCCGGCACGGATCATGCGGTCCACACGTGCGGCGAGAGAGGAATGAAGCACCGGGAGCGAGACGTCGACCCAGAGGAACAAACAGTGGTAGCGTAACCGAAAGTCAGGGTAGTGGTTGACCAAGGCGTCGAGGAAAGAGTTTGACCCACCCGCAATGATGGGTAAGCCATCGCGTTTCAAAATGGAGCCAACGGCGAGGGTGGCGTGGTGGCAAAAGTCGTGGGTACTGAAATCCAAGTTAGATTCGACCGTGCCTAGGAGATGGTGTGGGACCCCTCTGCACTCCTCCTCAGTGACTTTGTTGGTGGTGATATCCAGGCCTTGGTACACTTGCATTTTGTCTGAGTTGACTATCTCAGCTGGTGGGAAATGCGTGGCAAGGTCTATGCCAAGTTTTGACTTTCCTGTCCCCGTTGCCCCCATTATCACCACAACCTTTTCCTTGTTCCGGTGCCGGAACAACGACAGCGTGTCCATCGTCAGTCCCGGGTTGAAACTCGCCACCGGCTTGCATAACGCTGATACCGACACCATGTTCATCTTTTTTCTCTCTTCTCTTAACCTGCCAAGTTGACCAAACATTTTTTATTCACTCTTGTTATCCTTTGCACTAGCACAACCAGCTCATAAAGGATTACTTTAATTTATTGCACCCAATCATTATTTGAAACTGGAAAGAATCTAGCGAGCGGGGGAATGGATCAAAAGCCAGAAGAAAAATAAAACAAACAAATGAGCTTTGTCTGCAAGCAATGTCATGCATATGAGATGAGTTTAATTTCCTGGACAAACAATTAACTATAGATTTTGAAGCAGGGGACAAGCATGTCTATGTTCATGTAAATTAAGCACACTGACAAGGATTAAAATTTTAGATTTTGATGGCGCAGGTAGCGTATTTATTGATAGATATGCGTGCGAACGTACCTTGAACGATAATTGAAAATTGTGGCTGTGCCTTGCTTGCTGGCTATGCTTTCTTTGCACACTGACACACCAGGAGAGTATATATAGATTAATTAATTAGAGAAGAGGAGAGAGGTTGAGGGAAAGAGTGTACGAGTGTACGAGTTGGATGATTTTTTTGTGCTTGTTATGATAATTAATCAAGGCATGAGGGATAGGAAAGGTACTTGAACTCTGAACAGACTGGGAACGAAGTATAAAAGGAATTCTGACCCGAGTTTATGACTTTATGGTATGGAAAATGCAGGTTACCCTGCTATTTATACCAAACTGGGTCTCAATGGCCCACAACTTAATTATATTGAATGTCTAATCACACCATACCCTTTTTTTCAGTATGCTCCACAAACCAATAAAATACATGTTAAAAGAACAGTCCACTTAGATGGAGTGAAAGTAATGGAAAATTGAGAAGAAGGAGCAGAGAGAAAAGGTAAAATTGTTTCATTGTGTGAAAATAAGTGGGGGAGGAAAATAAAATATAGATGACTCCCACATAAAATATTTCTGTGATGAGATCAGAGAACATAGATTGGAAATGAACACAGATATGCAATTTTGACAACAACGTCAAATAAAAGAAAGAAAAAAAAAATACTTTCAATTTCTTGTTAATGTAATTTAGATTCCATGCTGAGTTGTCAAGATCATAAAATTGAACTTTTCAATTAGCGATCTGGATTGTATCCATGATTAATTTCTATCGCGTTGTTAAAGGATTTGACTCTTTTTTTTATTGGTTTAATCTACAATCAAGAAAAAACACTTAGTTACAAACTACTATTACTTACTACAATATAAATATACTTTTATTGCTTATATAAATACACTTTTATTATTGTTATAACTTTATTAAAAACTATACAATTATGTGTATGTTTCATTAATTAAGCCTCGCAAAAATTTATGATTTCCAATAAATTATAAATTTTCGGCCGTACAAAGTATATTGAGAGTGTTTAATGATTTCAATGTAAACACTTTTACACTTTCGTATGTTATGTAATCTGACTAGCTCTTACATATTTGATTAACCATGACCCTTTATTCTTTTAGTTAACAATTATATATTTTTGTATTTTACTATTAAAAGCAACATCCACTCTATGAACATCAAAATATATTTTCAAATGAAATTATAGCTAAAGTTTAATGTTTATACATTGACAATGAATATGATGTTATCAACTAAGTAGAAATTATCATTGACAAAAATTATTATATAAGTTAATTTCTCATACATAAGTCATTATATTACGTATGGAATGTTTTGTCATTAATTCGTAGCATAAAAGTTTTTTTTTTTTGTATGCACGCACTTTTTACTCTCTTATAGCTAAGTAAAGTGTACAGTAAAGTCTATTTTCGTTGTATAACATATAAAATATGAAAATTATCAATACCGGAAAAAGTATCAAAATATTTCATTTTTCATATATATTTTTTAATAGTTTTTATTATCTAAATAATATCTTATTTAACAACTAAGAAATAGTCATAAGTTTATAGATATAGAGATTACGCGTGTTTGTGAGAGATAAATGATTACTCTTTAAAAAACCTTATTTTCTTCTCAATTAATTATTTTTTTATAATAATTTTTTTATCTTTTTCGTGTTTTTTTTTTCAATCAAACAACCTATACATGTCTTACTCACTTTCTTTCTTTCTTTCTTTTCACATTTCCCCTATTTCCTTCTCCTTTATGATAACATCATTAAATTATAGGTATAACCGATGCTGACAAAAATTATAAGAAAAAAAATGATTGATTTACTAGATAAAAGAAAGTTTTAAAAGTAAATTGAGAAGAAAGCAATTTAAAGAATATTATATGACCAAAATTGTTTTTATTATTAATATGAAATTTATTGAGATGTCCACCACGTGTAACTGCGAGGGCATTCCCCGTACTTCCTCGTATAAAAGCGTGTATCTATGTATTATATTGTGTAGATGGTTAGGTGAATACTACGAAGGGGTAATTAACTTTTGGCCTCTACACACGTATAGGGGTATTAACTTTGATTTTGGGGCTAACTTCAGGAACCATGCCTGGTCTTATGCCACATCTATATCTGTTTCGGATGCTTACTATTTGTTGTAAATAATAATCTATATATATTTTTCTCTCGTAACTCTTCAAAGTTTTTAAAAACAAAATCATAATAAATGTGTTTCTGGTGGAATTTCGATCGATTTCGATTCTAAGGGTGTTTTGGTCCTAATCAAAATTCTACCACGTAAGTTCTTTTTACTTAGGCTAGCAATTTGATTTTCAATCGAAAACGCGTATGAGAATTGAAAACTACAGGATATCGAAAATGTGGTTTTTGGTATTTTATGTCTAAAATGCTTGACTCAAACAAAACGATAAAGTATCGAATCGAGCAAAGAGAATATTAAATTGCAAGAAAGTGCGAAAACCCGAATTTGCAAGAAATTAAGTTTGCGAGATAAATAAAGGACGGAAATCGAAATGTGCGGGAAATGTAAATTGCTAAAACCCATTAAAATTGCACGAGAAAGTAAATAACGAGGAAATCGAAATGTGCGGAAAATGTAAATTGCTAAAACCCATTAAAATTGCACGAGAAAGTAAATAACAGGAAATCGAAATGTGCGGAAAATGTAAATTGCTAAAACCCATTAAAATTGCACGAGAAAGTAAATAACAGGAAATCGAAATGTGCGGAAAATGTAAATTGCTAAAACCCATTAAAATTGCACGAGAAAGTAAATAACGGGAAATCGAAATGTCATTGAATGTAATCTACAAGAATATGAAATTGCTTGAATTGAAATGGCTCGAAAGTAAATTACCAAGGAAAATATAGAAAGCGATAAATGTACTCGGTGAGCAAGGAAATCCAGATTGCCGGAAACTTCATGGTGTTCGTCGTTTCTCCGGTAGACTTTTCACTTCTGATTACGTTCTCTGCCAATTTCCCCTCCCCTGTTTCTCCTTTCTTTGTTCTATTTATAGGGCGTTGTTCAAGCCTTCTAAGAGCGGTTAACGAGGCTGCTACCACGTTCTTCGTGCGTATGACGGTTTCTTTTTACGGTTTTCCCATGTTCTCACGATCTTCAACTTTTCCATCACTTAGAAGCTGCTTTCGATACGTGCGTTTTGACTACTTTCTTTCAAGGTTTAGCCAAGGTTATGATATCTACGAAAGCGAGCCTTCCCTTTGATTTAATCGAGAACTTTGCATACCTGGTATCGATTTATTTTAACCTTAACTCCATGTTAAGCTTTTCGACTATTACGCCTACTCTTCCAATTTTACCTTTCGATTTTATGTGTCACGTTCTTTATAATCGGACATCGGGAAAGTTCCACTTTCGATTCATTTCTCGATCAGACTTCTCGATTCCACACTATGACTTAGTCTTTATTTGGCAGCAGTAGTTCATTTCTCGATTGTGCTTCTCGATGTTATATGCTTACGTGTTTCAATTTGGACATCGAATGAATATTTGTTTATCTTATCGAGTCATATTTCTTTTCCCTTCGATTCGATTGTGTTTCTCGATTTGCTACTAACAAATGCCCCCTTGAAAGAATATGAATAATTTCGGTTTATATTCTTTCAATATTCCGCTTTAATGTTTGGAAGGTCCACGGGGTTTAGGGTTTAGGGTTTAGGGTTTACGGGGTTCTAGGTTTAAAAGGGGTTTTAAGTTTCTTTTCCTCTTTACGTCGCCATCATATCAGTCTGCTGTTTTCACAGTACGCTGCATTTATTACCTTTCACCTCCGTCGTTCCATCTCCCTATACGATTTCCTTTTAACCTCTCAACCTATCTTTACTCTGGCTTTACGCGAACTTTTATCCTCTACTGAAAACTTGTCTTCTTCCCTAAGCTCCTGCCTTCGTTTCTGTTACCTTACCTGTCACCTTCTTTATTATTTCTCTAATCTTACTATAATGGCCTCTTCATCTAAGTCATCGATTTCTCGGCTCCTCCTCTTACCTCATCTACTTCTACCTTCTTGGAAATTAACAACCGGCGGTTTGCTCCCTTGCCTTTAATGGAAGAGGCCTCTAAAAGGATTCTTGAAACTCGGGTATTAGTTCCTTACATTGTTGGTGGGGTTGGTTTTGGTTTTGGGGGCCCCATTCTTTACGATAGTGGAGCAGTTTCTCCCCTCACCCTCTCAAGCGGCCACTGCTCTAGTTCATCGGCCGAAGTTAGGATCGATTTTTTGAATTTTGTTTCCAAGGTGTATAGGACAGGTCCTCCCTCCAAAAAATCTTTGTTCACTCGATGGTTTGATAGGGTCAAGGCTAAATTCGGGGACCATTGGAAGAATGTGGGGGTTTATGATTTTCTACATTTATCTCGATGTGATTTATCCTACCTCGATATGGCTATGTTCTGGCTGCCAGTGCACCTATGGAATAAAGAGATACATGCATTGGAATTACCTTGTGGCCCCTCTCACCTACTCTTCTCGATGTTGCGGCCATCATTGGGTTGAAACCTATAGGGGAAAGATATTTTCGAGGTGCGTGTCCTTCGAGATAATTCGTTGAAGTCAAAAATCGATTGGGAATCGAAGGCTACGG